AAATAATTCAATTTCGAGTGGACAGTCTTCAATAACCAATAATCAATGTTCAAATTTATCAAGTAATCACGATATTGAAAACGGGACTTTAATGTCGTAGTAAAATCCCGTTTTATGCAATAATTGTAATGTTATTGCGGTGTGATTATGACGAAACGAACTAATCCGCAGAGTGTACCGGTTGGGGAAATTCGATAACGTTAATAAAGGTTATATTAGAAACGTGAATTGTATCGTAAAGGGAGCGTTATGAATGATAAATGTGGGTGTTTGCGCGAGAGAACGTGAAAAGGTCATTATCCTCGCGTGCGGAACGTTTTCATTAAAAGGCGCGATTCATTCGATTCGCGGCAATATATTGTCACAATCTTTGAATTCCCATAATAATCGAAATAATAGCATTAATGATTTAAGATACGACCAAGTATTTACGAATTTCATAAATTGTGACTTTATTATTGTTTCATCGTGCATTAAATGAAATCGTTTAAAAGATTTATATAAAATGTTCGAATCAAATTCTAATTCTGAATTCCAGTGATCCAAACTAACCTCAAATACGATATTAATTTAAATCATATTTGGATGAAACGATTGTATTGTTCAAATATTTAAACGTATTAAATTAATTATCCATTTCTAAATATCATTTTGTAAATATAATTGAAAAAAACATTTATTTTAACTTAATCCAAACCAAAATTATTCAAGCACGTTCTACAAAATAAAATTCCAATCACGCATAGGAAGCACTTTGCCAAAATAATATACGACTTTCATGCCACTTCATCACCATCTATTCAATTTTAAATTCTACTCGTCATTCCATCAACATTCATAAAAAAAGAAAATTCTAACCAACTTTAATCTTTAAAACCGTCCAACGATCCTCTCATCTACCTGACATCTACAAAAACTCCTGATATTGACACGGCCGTTAACATCAGCAGCGACATCTATTCAACATACAAACGACGCAAGGACACGTACCGTTAAACGTTCTCTCCACGATCATTTCTAAAAGAAACATATTATCCGAAAAAGAACGAAAAACGGGAAAAGAGAGAGAGAGAGAGAGATTGAGGATAATAGCCGAAACGATACAAGACCCATTGAGGCTCATCAGCGTTCACACTGAACTTGACATCACCACCACCAATCATACTCGAAGCCCATCTTCACACGGAAGTCGAGGCATCTCGAGTAAGGTGCAGTCGTAAATATCGAAGGTATCCGTTGTGGTCAGGCTCGTTAATCATCATCACCAGCATCGAGATATTCGCGCTGGTGTGTGTCCGCGTGTGGGTGTCGTTTTACGAGTTGTGCACATCCTCGTGCTCCACCCTGCTCTCTCGTCCCATCTCTGTTGCTCAAGGCGGACGATAATGCCGCGTACGGTTCGATAGCGGGCGTCGCGACGCCCGGCAGTCTGCCACCGTCGTTCCATTCCATCCTTCGTTTCGTTCGGCGTCGGGCAACTACACACACACACACACGCACACATATACATACACATATGCGCAAGGTACAAGCGCACATCCACGTGCATCCCAAGCGAGTAGTACACGTATACGCACACACGGTGGCGCATGTTTTCGGTCGCAAGAAAGCATGGTCGCTCTTAGATGGGCATAGGCGCCGCCTTGCAGAAATTCGCCCGGTTCGTTAACCCTTTGCGAGGAGAATGACAAATCGATGGGGGCTTGCGCCACTTTTCCGTTCTTTCCGCACTGTTTGCGACGACTTTATGCGCTCTGTTCTCGGTCAGAGGAAGGGAAATGGAAGGGCTTTTGGAACTTATCGGGATTTTTATGCGAGATACATCTTAGGATTGATTGGAATCTTGTCTTTTTTTATTTATCTTCGGGATTGGATTGTTAAAGAGTGATTGGTTTTGGATAATAAAATAAGTTTCAAATTTGATTTGATTGGAAAATAAAATTGAAAGAATTAGTATGTTCTCCTCTAATGAAGAGACGAATTTTTTTGAATGATTGTTATTTATTAATAAATTATATTCTATATTTTGAATAAGTTGAATATTTTTTTAAACACATTTTGTTAAATTATCATTATTCTTCTATTTTCCAATATTAAATTTCTTTCAACAAAACAATCCCTATCTATAAAATCTCAATTCAATTTAATCTGTTCTTAAATTATCACCTCGAAAATTAGAAAGAGACGTTCAATTTTCATTCAGAAGATTTTGGTGGAATTAATCGGGGAATCGGAGGTCAAAGAGGGATCTTTTCGTCCAACAAAAGGAGTACGCCAATGGATCAAAGATGCAGCAGGCATGCGTTTGGCGGAACGGGCCGCATTTAGCCGAGAATATGGCTGTACCAGCAGCGCTATTAATTTACCAGACGATTTGCCCCGATTAATGTCCACGGGAGTGTTCCGCGCGCAAAATCCTCCGATTGTTCCACAACTGGTGCGGAGGGAAAACGGTACTTTCCGCGTCGTCTCTTTTCGACGTCTCGTTACGCAATTAAAAAAGAGTTTCTCCGCTGAGCAAACCGATTCACGGATCGTTTTAGAAGCGTTCGCGGTGTTGTTTACGTTTTGTTGGTCCCGTTCCATGCGGCTCCTCAATGGCCCCGTTGATTCGTCACTGAATCCCTCCCCTCTCCCCGAGTCAATTAGCGAACGAGCCTTTAGAATTCGAATTGGAATTTTTAAGTAGCTCGTTTCTTCGTCTCTTTGTATTTTTGCCCCTCCTTTTCGTTCCTTTTCTTTTTCCTTTTCCTTTTTCTTTCTTTTTCGTTGAATTCTATATGAAGTTGTTGAAGAAGTTTGATCGAAAGTTCTTCATACTTTTTGAAATTGGAATGCTAGATAGAATTAATTTACGATTTATCTCTTCGTTTATCTTGTCATTTATTACACGATAGAAGAAAATTTTTGATAAATAATTTGTATTTACAAGTTTTTCTCTCTATGAATTGTAATCTTTTACATCGAACGTGAAGGTTCCTATAATTTAATACGTATGAAATGATATTAAGTTTTATAGAACTTAAAGTACTCTAAAATTAAATAACCTAACCTAGATCCTTATGAATCATTTAGAATCAAATTGGATTAAAGAACTTTTCAAACCTTACCTTTACAAAATCTTTGTAGAAATTCAATATATAGAATCAGTACTTACAATAGTTTAAAATGATTTCATTCTTAATTGCATTAAGTTAGTTGTATTACCACTGTAAGGTTCGCAAGCTAAGCTATTAGCTATAACCTATGTGGCGCCAATTGTCGACCTTCTAGTTGTACATTTAATATCTATAACATAGTTAGTTAAATTATATTCCATTTTCAATGAGAAACATTTTTCCATGTGAAATATTTCACGATATTATTTTCATTGTATTTGCATTGTATTTGCATTGTATTCTTTAGAATAAATTATATATTTTCCTATTTCTGTTTTATCCATTTCCAAATGTAAGATTATTATGCTCTCTTATCTTTCTAGTTATCTTTACTAAATTATCATTTTCATATTTCTATTTTACTTCTTTTCTATTATACTTTACTCATATTATTATGATAACTTATACGATCATCTTTTCTCATACTACAGCTAAAGTATCCAAAATATCTTTTTTCTCATCAAAGTTAGAATACGACGTATCCAATATTTCCAATACCTACGACTCTTAGATGATCCATTTCCCGTTACTTATTATAAACTATTCACGAACATTCGATTTACCCTCACTCTTTCGTCTCGAACGAGCCGGTTTCACCACTTGAACAGCAATAAAGTTCAATAGCGTATTTCCACTCTTTATCCCTCTGAATAATGTTAAGTGCCGTTCGAGAAGCATTCATCCTCGAGGCGAGAGAATGGTAAAGAGACAGGAACAGAGAGAGAAAGAGAGAGAGGGAGAGAGAAAGAGAAGAGAGGAACCGATCGAACGGAAGAAGCAAGAGATAAGGAAAGAATAGGAAAAAGAGGCGGCAAGCTAACCCTCTCGAAGTAGCGTGCCGGTATCGATCGACTCTTCACGGTCGACGCTCGTTATCGGTGTTTCCATGCTTTTCCTCGTTTCCTTCAACCTTATCCTCGATCCCTCTTGCCAAACTCGTCATATCCTCTTCTCGTATTTTTACCTCAACTCCTTTCCCCTCGTAAACAGTGAACTATTTTGCTCGAACTTTACATGAAAAATTCATGTCACACAATTCATGTGTAACGATGGTAGAATTCCTTTTGGAAAAAGGTTTTTCCATCTATCTTGACTTTTCTCTCTCTCTCTCTCTCTCTCTCTCTCTTTCATTTGTTTTCGTAAACGTAGACCTGTCAATATCCTTTTATCTCAGTCAATTGGTAGGGTTATTTTCCGATGGATGACAGTAGTTCACTGTATTAATAAAAGTATCTTCTTTCAACGAATGACCGTCAGAGGGCAGGGGAAGCGGTTCGTTTGGGGAATTGAAGCGGTTCTGGCAGGTAGATTGATGGGTTATTTTTTTTTTGAATGTTTTCTCGTTGTAGAGGTAAATGAAAGATCGTTATACAGTGTTACAAATGGTATTGTACAAAATGTTTCAGTTTGTAACAGTTGATCGATTTGAGAGTTGGTGTTGATGATTGTGTCAGGATTGTTTTTTATTTTTTATAGCAGATTTGTAAAAATTTTGAAGATTTTCCAAACTATTGAATTAATTCTCTTCTAAAGACAATTTTTTTAAATTCTTTATAATTTAAAATATTCTTCATATCTTCATGATATTCCTTTTCATAATTTTCGTATTCGCTAGTTAGAATTTCCTTTCTAACTATTACTACAATTCTTAGATAATAAAATAAAAAATTTAAGAATTCTGAAAGGAATTTAGAAATGGAATTTAGACTCTTAGAATCATTCCAAAGGTATATTAACATCCTATATATAGATGCATTGGTTTATAAATCAATTCCATGGTTATGGTTAATCTTTATGGAGCGTTGGAAAATGTTTAACGACCAACGTGTTTCGATTTTACAGTGTCTGGCACGACAAACAAGAAAGAGGAAGAGACGGCGGTGGCTACTGTTGGCGTCACGGAGGAGAGCACTAGTGTCCTGGGCACGAGATCCAGGACAGGAAGCGATCCTGGTGGAGGTATAGATTTGTTGGCAGCGTTACAGTTGCACAACACAACACGACTGGGTGTTACACAGGTGCCAGGACTGGTTAGATTAAAACCAGCCTATTATCTTCAGGGTAAGTGTCATAATTTTTTTTTTGTTTGTTTTATCTTTTATTTTTCTCCAAATTTTCAAAATATAATTTTCAGATTAATTTCCTAATAAATATTGCATTAAGTAAGAATTGCAAAAGCAGAAATATCACAAGCAGATTTTTTAAAATTAGAATCTATATAGATATATTTAATTTTATAAAATCATCAATAATACATCTAATGTAATTTATATATCAAGAATATTCTAATCTTAAAAATTATTTTCATCTTAATTCTATCTAATATACAAACAACATAAACGAAGAAGATAAAGCTATATTTATCTCAATCTTTAAAAATCTAAATCTAAACGAAAAAAATTGAACAGCTCGTATCAACATTGCTCGAAAGAATAGTCCAAAACGAGGGTGAAAAGACGTAAATCATTTCATGCTATTTATATTGGGGTATGGCGTGCAGATTGTACGAGGCGCAGTAAATTTCACGAATAGTGTAGGAACCGAAACCTGTTTCTGCAAGGGGTTCTCTTAACCTGAATATATTCCTGTTTGCATATCAGAGGATCGTTTCGAACTGGCAGCTATCATCCTCTGGCGTTTTGAGACTGGATCGCCGGCTATAAAATCGATTATTCCTCTTTGCGTGTTACTTCCTCTATTTTTTGCATTCGTAATTAGATGTCTAAATAAATTTTCGTTTTATTCATTTTTCAAACTTAGAATTATATTTAGAAAAGATCGGAATTGCAATGGGACAAAAATGATATGGGGGAAAAAGTGATGACTAATAATATAGGATTATATAATAGGATTATTAACATTCCACGTTTAATTGAGTAATCCTTTGTTATGAAGAGATTATTAAAATTTAATCTATTAAGATTATAAATTAATTTTATTCAAATTTATATCGTACTTTGTATTTTAAAATTAAAGCTTTATTTATCAATAACATTATTTATGATATTTATTTATGATATCTGTAAAAATCATTGAACGTTATCAATAATTATATATTGGTGAATATTTTAACGTAGAATTTTTACAAATTACTTATACATATGTTAATCAACGAGATTTATAAAATAACAATACTGTATAGGGCGTGACCATATGATCTTTGAGATTACGTAATAATTAATATTAGAAATACTAATTATAAATTCTAAATTAATATTTAATCGAATTCCAATAAGAATTCATAGATTTTATCTTTCTTTTTAAATGTTTCTTCATCAATAAAAAATTGTTTCAATGTTTTCTTCAATGATTTTCGAAAAAGATGTTTTAATTATTTGTAATAGGTCAGTGCAAAAGAGTGATCAACCGAAAAAAAAAAGAAAAACAATTGGCGTTGATCAGTTGAACTGTGATGGTTACATAACAACTGATTAATCGATATTATGAAAGGTCAGTTTCATAGCTGCGTTGTCTCCATTGGCAAACCTCTGGAGGGAATTCCCTCGTGGTCTACGAGTATCGATTGTCCTTTCGAATTTCGAGCGAATTGACCCGGTATTTTCGCGGCATTTTCATTTTCTTGATTATACGATTATATCGATTAACAATTTTCTTAATTTATAAGATACATGCATAGTTACGAAATCGCTGTATATTTTATAATAAAAATTATTGTTTTACTATTTTTACTTTAACGGATAAACAATAATTAATTTTAATTATTTTATAACAAATTATTACGTACGAATCATCATTTCAATTTAAGCAAAAAAAGAAAAATTTTCTCATTTTTTTAATAACAAAACGAAGAATACATCGTATACATTAGGATTCGAAAAATATAACATATTAAAATATTATAATATTAAATTTCTTTAATCTGTGTATCAAGAACTAATAGTAAATATACTTGCTGATTCGTTAAATAAAACGATCTCTCTCTTAAAATAATTAACTTTTTCCAAATAATAATAAGAAAGAAAACGTATTAATCGTATATTTGCATTATTTTGCGTATCTAAAAAATTCTAAATAAAAAAATAAACTTTCTCTTTTTAGTTTCAATTTTAGAAGAAAATCGTTCTCGATATCTTTATAACGCGTAAAATCAAATATTCGCTCTTTCTTTCTTTTTTTCTCACGAATTCTCGACCCCAAAGAAACTTGCACATAGACGTGGTTAAAAGCGTGGGCGACGCGACAGTGCAACGTTCGCCAAAAGCGGGGGTGGTTGGCCCAAGGGCGTCAGCAGGGGTTTCCCCGAAAGAAATTTCAATTACCAGTCCGAACTGCACCCTCTGCCAATGGTTTCGTGGAAGTAACAATATTCTCTGCGGTTTGAAACGTTGAGCTAAAAGGGACCCCACCATTTCTCTCTCTCTCTCTCTCTCTCTCTCTCTCCTCGTTCCCCCGATTTCCCCGTCATTGCTATACCTTGTTGCCTTATTTTCGCTCGTTTCTGCGTCTTTATGAGCCGAAATCGTTGTTATTCGAGTGAAATTTTCTTCACAGGAGTGTGAGTTCTTGGCAAACGATGATCACCGTTGTTTCCAAAGTGCCATTCGGTTTACGTTGGTTTTTTGGAGAGGTTATTAAAAGTTGTGAGACTATGGATTGTAAAACTTTACATATATAATGAATGGTTTTATTATTCTAGAGAGATGAGATACTTCATTTCTTGGTTGATGTTAAGATACTTTGTTACTATAGTCTGTGGTAATGTCAAAATTGAGGTACAAATAAAGGGAAATATTTTTAAATGTTTTAAGTCAATTATTATCAATTACACTTGTGAATAGTTAGGTTAGATGAATTAATTGCACTGAAACAGAAAATATGTATCTATATCATGGAAAAACAGTGCGTTAATGTATCCTTCATCGGTGCTTTATTATTTTTTCATTAATGTCAATAGAAGTATTTGCTCATTTCGCTCTTATTTTCCTTGCCACGTGTTTATCCTCGATAAATATCCCTTTGGAGAATCGATCGAGGAAGAGGAAACATCCTCGAAACTCGGTTTCATTCAGTTCGAATTGGGAGAGCATTGTAATCACCGAACAAAAGATACGAACGTATATGCCGACACGTGTCAGAGTTTTCTCTGAACATGGAAAATAAGATTTTGCGATCCCCCTTTTGTAGTCTGATGGGGAACCAGACCTCGCTCTAGTCCTGAAATTGCTCCACCCTCTATGTCTCTCCCCTCTGTGGGGAACTCCCGATCTAATCTATGTGCTGTTTATTTCCGAAACGTATAACTTTCTCGCCCAACCATCTTCCATAGATGCCGAAATTAATGCCGACTGTCTGTATTTAAAAATTCTCCCCTCATTTTTCCAAAAATTTGGAATTTGAATTTCACAAGTAACTTTCGATGAAATAGAGTTCGAATAATTATATTACTACCTCTTACATTATCATTAATCAATTCGCTAAAATTTATAATTAACCTATTTTATTATTATTATAATATTATAATATTATTATTATTATTAATTTATTAATAATTTATTAATTTAAGCAATATTAATCAGGAGTCACTTTGTATCAATTGGCATAGAATGATTTCGAAGAGATCTGTTTACTTGTTAAGAAAATGTAGATACGGATAATTAAACAGCTAGTATAGCCCTTGATGGCCCTTAGCGCATTATATTATAGCGCTGCTGGTGTCTTGTTACCTTTTATTAAGCCTCTGAAATTTGAGGCCCCTGCAAGAAACCTGGCGCATGCGTACCACTTTCACGGGTGACAACGCACCGCTCGCGAGGGCAGTGCACAATTGGTCGTGGGCCCTGTCTTATTACACGGTTCGCTAGTGAGACCCATGCGAACGACTAATGTACTTAATCGACGAACGAAGGATCATCTTTACGCTAGCATTATGGCGCTTTTAGCTTTTAGAAATTTCATCGCATGTGTCTTTACTGACGCAGTACGGAGTGCCAAAGAGTGTCATGTTACTGACCATGTGGCTAGATGACTCTAGTGTCCAATTAACCTAACATTCATGAGAAGTAAATAGAATAATTGTTATATTATTATAAAAATAATTGTAAATCTAATTATAAATATTTATATATTATTTTGTTTAGATATAAAAAATGTTGATATTTTAAAGAAATATTTTACATAAATTAAAAATAGAAAAAGATTGTACGCAATATAAAAAAGAATAATTTAAAATAAGTTAAGAGAAAAAGAAAAGTTTTATCAAATTTTAAGAAAAAACAATGTTTTAAAATAAGAACACGAAATTTCGTTCGAAGTTTTCGGGACGCTACGGAGCCAGCAAATGCGACCAATCGAATTTCCATGCCGACAGGATTACGTAACTGTACGAGTAGGAACCGTAAATTGGACAAATCGATGCAACCCTACCAAAAATTTTGTTTGACCTACATACGAGATCTGTGAAATCTTCAGCTGAACTTTTTCAGAAGTTTTCAGAATTCGAATTTTTTTATTTTTTTTTAGTGTATTTCTACAGATAATTTCAATTCACTTTTGGATTAGTTAATTTTAAAGTAGTATCGAATATCGAATTGGATAAAAGTGGCATGGTACAATTTGTAAGAATCCGCAAATTTGTATACGAATTTTATTTTTACTATTAAGATTATCATTCTCAAAATCTATAAAAATATATAGAAATCCGAGAAATTGAATACGCCAAATTCCTAACTTGAATTAAATCTTCTATCGATAAATTGAATAAGTTTGTTCCTGAACTTGTATAAATTCTTCGAGTTACTAGGATTGATTGCTTCTATTGAACTTAGAACTTCGTTTTGTCTATTGCTGCGAACTTGTGAAACTTTGAAAAGTATTGAACCATTAATGTCCAAACTATTCTACTAATTTCTGATAAATCATTAATAGTACAAAGAAGACGTTCAAGATAATTGAACGTGTAATAAAATGGAGAGACAAACGATAAGTGAATTTATTCTACAAACTATGTAACATAACACCAAAATTATAATTTAAAAAAAAAAAACAGAAAGAAAAATATACACGTAATTGTTATCTCAATTTTTCAAGCTCTTCGAATGATCTTCGAAAAAAAATATTTCAAGCAAAAAAATAAATTAATAAGCTAAGCTCATCTTAATTTTTTTAATTGGTATTACAGACGTATTTTCGATTTCACAGTGTTTAATATCTGATACCAAAATGAGATTCATAATAATTTTAAGAATAAAAGATACGATCATAATTAAATTTAATTATAATACAACTGCAAATTAAATTACAAGATCTTCGTTATTATTATACATTTTTCTGAAACGAAATGTATCGTTGGTGTTATTAGTAACGATATTGTAGAATGGTAGAGTGGGGCGCAGAAATGATTGAGTTTTACTACTTCAGGCGAGGAGAGGGAGCTCCGACTGAACGAGGCGAGCTTCGAACGAGCGGCCACGCTACTCCGGCGGGTTCCGGAATTCACTATAGCCGCCGCTCTACGACAAGAGGAGGCCAATTCCGGGACAATCGTCGCCTTTTCACATGGGAACAATAGGTAGGGATCGTGTGTGATTTCGTGTTCGATTCGAGAATTCAAAGCGACCCTACCTCGGTGGCGTTCAAACAATGTATAAACAGGAGAAAATTTTAAAATTCTTCGTACCTTTGTCCAAGTTTATTCCTTCCTTTTCCTCTTTTTTCTAAACTACAGAAGAAGAACTTTAAAAGATCATTTTTATTTATTATATAAATTATTTTTCATTTCCATCTTTTCTTCCATTCTAATATAATTAAAATAATATTAACGAAATAATATTTCATCGCAATTAAATTACATCCAAACAATTCTAATCTCACTTTTCTATTTATGTTTGCAAATATGAAAAATCTATCTTCACAAACTTGCTACGTGTTTTTGTTTAATAAAATACAATAAAGGAGAAAAGTATTAGTTAAATATATTAGTTTCGTTTAATCCCAATCGATTGTAGAGTAATTGGAAAAAGCATCATCTTTAGTATCATCTTTAATAGAATTGACGAACTGAAAAAGGTAGGAAGTCAGTCTTAAGGAAGTTACTGTGTCACAATTGTTGAGTTGGAACGAAGGAGAGAGTACTTAACCTCAAAGTAGTCGCACCCTCTGTTGGCACACGAGTAGTGCAATCTAGTCGTTTTAATCTGGCTGACATAAATTAGATGCATGTATCTACTGTCCATGTATTTATACAATAATTAACACGCTTCGTGAAACAGAAATCATTGTCAGAATTCAAGAGGAATTAAATTTAATTTGATATTCCTATGAAACGTGAATTAGGATTTAGATAATTTTATTAAATATTGTAATTGCTTGATCGATATTTCAATATTTAAATTTTTCTCACAAGATGATAATGTTATAAGTTATAATTTTAATCTCGTTGATATATTTTATTCAATGTATAGTATAATTTTATTTTATTCGTTTTTTTTGAAAGGAATATATTGAATTAGAGATGAATGTAGAAGATAATGGTGATATTTATTAGAATTGGAATATCGATTGGATTTATTATTGTCAGGCTTTTAATCTCGATGTATTAGAGACGTGTGATATATGGTAAGTGTAAAACGGAAATTGCGATACATACACGCCATCAATTTCCTTCTGATTCAATCACGTGATCTATTTAATTCTGTGTATATGTTTCAATTAACAAACTAAAATGGTTTTAATCGATCTACAGTTGTGATTTCGTGTACCACATTGCTTTGTTGAACTTGCTCCATTAGATTATTAAACAATTTCATACCATTAACCAGATTCTAGTAAATTTCTGATGATAGGGATATCTTATAATCCTATATCCTTAATCTTATAATCCTATTCAAGTTCAACTAAGTTACACTCTCTGTTTAATAAAAACTTAAGATTAATCCAAGACAGAAAATTGGAACACAAAAGTAATAGCAATAAATACAAAATAAATAAATAAATATTTCTAGAAAATATAATTAATAATTTTATTCGAAATTGAAGTTAAAATGTTTTATATTAATTTATCAAAAATAAAATACCAAAAAATATTAATCTAACGAATAACGAAATACAATATTTTTACTAAAAATTTATTTCGAATTAATCAAACGAGAATTTAATAATTTTAAATTTAATTGAAAACTTGTGAAATTATTAATTATTAAATTAGAAAAAATTTTTTTCAATGTATTCAGATATTTGGAGCTGCAGAGCAGCGGCCGTAAAGACGAACTTCGACTGCATTATGTATCACGCCGGGACGGTAGTGTCCACGTGGAGGCGTTCCCTTTTCGTCTGGCCGATGGCGCTTGGCACAGGGTCGCCCTGAGTGTAAGCGGCTCGCAGGTCGAGCTGCTCGTCGACTGTCATCCTTTATACAGGCGGTTACTTAGGCCTGGACCACCTGACACCAATTTCACTTTGCCACAATTACAACTCTGGGTTGGCCAGAGAAATGTCAGGCACTTTCTCTTTAAGGTACGATCTCCTCTTCTTAATCTTTCTTTATCTTATTTCTCTTTTTAGCAAAATATTAATATTTGATTATAAAAAAAAGAAAAAAAGAAAAATGGAACGTGATTATAATCTTTTTAAGAATTCGAAATTTTAATCAACTGAGATAAGTTCGTACGATTTTCGCGCCACAGGGTGCTTTGCAGGATGTGAAGCTGATACCAGGCCCCCATGGCTACCTTTCCCAATGTCCCCAACTTGATTCGTCTTGTCCCACTTGCGGTCAATTTTCTATATTACAAAACACAGTGGAACAGCTGATGCATAATCTCAACGAGCTCACGCGTAGGGTGAGTATATCTCTTCACCAGGTTCAATTTACTTTTGTATTTTGGTCAAGTTTTTAATCATTATATATATATAAAAAAGAATACGATTTTGAAAAGTAACTAGATAACTTTGGTTTTCTCTCATTCCCATCCTTCCTTTTAGCTAGCCGCTGCAGAGGGCAGGATAAGCAAAGTGGAGGAGTGCGAGTGCCAAAAGTCGTGCAGGGCAAATGGCACCGTTCACGAGGATGGTGCGACCTGGGAAAAGGGTTGCCAACAGTGTTCCTGCGTTCATGGGGAGATTGAGTGCAGACCGACACCCTGTGCGCCTGTAACCTGCAAGAATCCTGTCATTCCTCAAGGACAATGTTGTCCTATATGTTTAAGTAAGTATCGTATTACTTTTTTAAATTAAAAATTGTAATTTTAAATTGTATGTAATTGAATTTAAATCAGAGGATAAAAAGAAGAAAGCTTAATCTTTATCTAGTGATTGATTTTAAAAATAATTTGAGAACACTTTCCAAATTTTTTTCTAACTATGTTATACGTCAATTATTAATATTAATATTATATGATCAATAATTGCCTTCAGAGCAATGTTATTTGCACGGAGTAATTTACGATCACGGTGAGAAAGTTTCGCCGAAACAGTGCGTAGAATGCGACTGTTTCGATGGCAGCTTCACTTGCCAGAGATTCGACACTGAAACAAGATGTCCGCCATTGCCCTGTCCACCGAGCGAGCAGATCAGCGTAGCCGAAGAATGCTGCAAGTTCTGTCCGGGTATGGTTATTTATAGAAGCATATTTCAAATCACTAAATATTTTATGATATTCATTATCGTGATTAATCTTCTTCGATGTTTACAAGAATACATGAACATTCAATTGAGAGTGAATAGCAATCGTTCATACGTATGACGATAATATTTGATAGCTTAATCATTAAGTATTACTAATTTTAATATTTTGAAAAAAAAAATCATTTATAGAATCGTGCTTAAACTGTATAATAATTAACCATAATTGATTATACAACCCATGGCAAAAATCTTAAGAGATTTTAATATACTAAATCTATTCAATTTGTCATAAGTTTTTTAATTGAAATATATATTTTTTTATATATATTAAGCAAAATTTTGCTAAGGGCTGGATTCGATATTATGATTCAATCGTCATTTTATTACTAAAATTCTTTAACTACAAATGATAAGAACGATGCATGCCATTTTATGGTACTCACATTAAAAAATCCCTAGGCGAAATTTCCTCTTTTCTGCTATAATATATAATATTCATATCCTAAATGGCATGGCAGCCAAGCAATATCTAAACCAAGAAAAAACAAATTCTAACCATTTGATCCAAACGCTAATAATTAAATTTTCTAACCATCTCTGCATTTTCCTGGCTAACCCAATTTAACCAGGGGTGGACTACTGTGCGAAGGGCCACAAGTGTCATGCTAATGCGTCCTGCCTGAATCTGCAGACAACGTACGCCTGCCATTGCGATATCGGTTTCCAGGGGGACGGTCATAACTGTCACGGTACCTAATGCTTCTCTAACTTTGCTCTCTCTCTTTTTTGTGTGTCTTTTCTTCTCTTTTTTCTTTGCGTCGATATTTAATAGCCTTTAATTCAATTAAATCCACTGAGATGGCGATCGTGATATTTCCGTCGGTCGACCCTTCATCGTTAAATATATAGAAGATCGATGTTAGTACACACATAATCATATAGCATGTGTTTGTTCATCCGTGATTTTATCGATAGTCATATCAAAGAAATAAATTTTCCGTGATTGTCATTACCAAAATTAATAATGTGTGTGTTCATGTTTCCATAATATTTAGATTCAAATCGATTTGTTTATAGATAATCGTTTTAGATTCGTGAAATAATAATTACTTGAATGAATTTAAAAAGATCGTCGATAATAATATGCATTAAAACAAAGATGGTTTTGGCAATTATGTGATAGAAATAAATACATTTTTTTTTTCTAAAATTATATTTTTGCACTTTAAAAATTATTCTCGTCGTTCTATTTATTTTAGCAGAATGTAAATATTTCGACCTTCAAATGACCTTAAATAAAATGTTATTTAGTTTTATCTATATAGTATAGAATTGATTGGTTATTCAGATCATTTGAGGGTCTTTCTATTAAAGCAAATTAATTTAAAATAATTGATCAAATACGTTAACGTCACAGACATAGATGAATGCAAACAGCAAGGTGGCTCCGAGGGGCACCATTGTAACGCAAACACTAAATGTGTGAACGTGAATGGCTCTTACACGTGCGAGTGTCTTCCGGGTTACCACAGAGTAGACAAATTCAACTGCGCCGAGTTAGACGAGTGTGCGACTGGTCATCATGCGTGCGATGAGCACGCCACCTGCGTGAACACAGCAGGAAGTTACTATTGCATCTGTGAAGATGGCTACACTGGCGATGGTTACACATGCAAACGTATGTTTATTCTCTATGATGTTTTTCTCATGTCCTAATTCCGTCTTCCTGTTGTTTTAAATTAAAAAATTTTTTGTTCATCTTCTTTAGCTGTTTGCAATCAAACCTGTCAAAATGGCGGTGAATGCGTGGCGCCGGGAAGGTGTTCCTGTCGGCGTGGCTACATAGGCAATAGTTGTGAATTAGATTTGGACGAGTGTGCGAGTGATTTGCATCGGTGTCATCAATCATCAACGTGTTTCAATATGCCCGGTTGGTATTATTGTCGTTGTAAACCGGGTTACAGAAGCGCCCTCCATGATAGTACTCAGGGTACACAATGTCTCGATATCGATGAGTGCAATGACCAAACGATCGAGAGGAGGCATACCTGTCATCCTAGCGCTAAGTGTGTCAATACCGAGGGTGGTTATGAATGTATTTGCCCGCTTCAAGAGGAAAATAGTACTATGGAGGAATGTAGACTGAGTAAGTATATATTTTTATATTATAATTCTAGGGATTTTTCCATTATCGAGTTTTAACGGTTTAGAACTCGAAAAATATTTATAAGGGAGAAGTAAAGATATTGTATGGTTAATAGGTTGCTGGTTCGAAAATCAAGAAGTGAAAAACGGAGAAACTCTAGCACCAGCCGAAAATCCCTGCAGGAGATGCACTTGCAAAGATGGCGTTGTTACATGTAGGGACCCGATTTGCGATTGCAGCGCTCCGGGAAGTCATCGGGATAAGTGTTGTCCGCAATGCGATCCTGCGGCTTCTTGTAGGCATCAAGAACTTCATCATCTAGTCTTCAGAAGTGGCGAACGATGGATATACCAATGTCAGACTTGTGAATGCCTGGTAATGGCACTAATAAAAATTATATAATCGATTTCATTTTTTTTTAATAACATCCACTTTTAATCTTCTATGATCTAATTATTGCTAAATAGAATATATTATTCAAACAATCTTGATCCGCAATAAGCAATTATCTTTCGTAAAAATGAAAATCATAAATGTTTATATTTATTCGAAATCATTATCTTAATTATAAAATAATATCGCTACTATTTTCTGAGCGATTCTGAGCGAGTTTTTTTATTTCGGAATAAAATTATATTCAAAAATAAGTGATCTGGATCATAAAGTTTTATCTTTTATGATAAAAAATTAGATTCTAAAAAGAAATTCTAAAAAAAAATTAGATATTATTTTTAATAATTTCTATTTAAAAGTTTAGGTTTTTTTATAATTTGAAATGTTTAGAATTATCACATGATTTATTTCAGTACGGCGAAGTAGACTGCTGGCAAATGGAATGTCCACCAGTGACTTGCTCAAACCCTGTGACAGAGGATGGGGATTGTTGTCCTCGTTGTGAAGACGATCCCTGCGCGAGAGAAACGTTTGGAAATGACACTTCTCTCTCGATATTAACTAGGCCACAACCTTGCAGCTATTCTGGAATTATTCACGAGAGTGGCAGCTCCTGGCAGGATCCTCATGACAAGTGCACCACGTGCGAGTGCAAGGTAAGAAGGATGTCCGGCTGTGGTAACATCGGGGGACCGCAGAGTCATTCGTCTCACAAGATACGAATAAGATAGGGGGGTTCGTGAGGAAAGAGAGACACGAATCGTTATGGAGAAACTGTGCCTTAAACAATAGATTTTAAAATTAATAATGTATAATCATTTTTTAGCAGAATATTCTTTTTCTAATTTCTTTATGCTGATGAAACAAGATATATTCTTTGTAATAAAATGTTATCTAATAACACTTGTTTATAACATAGATAAATGTTAGAAAGAATTTCTTTTTATCGTGTTCTCTTTTCACATGAAATCAAGATATTCAAGGTCAGTAAATAAATAAAAAACTAAATATCGCCTTCATTTAGCCGTGGATCTGTCCTGCGTCTGATCAATTACGTTTACTGTGTTCCTACGAGGTGCGACCAGTTGCTGTGCGGGAAGCGATCATTTAAAATACATTTATATATTTACATAATACATGTGGCGGATTAATATTGTACTTGAAATAATTTTATCTATATTTTCATAAGCTTTAATTGCGATAACTTCAAATTCTGAAGTAAACCATTTAACATTATTTAGCATTCTGAATGTATGAATAGTTCTTAGCATTCATTGTAATTATTTAACATATCTGTTAATTATTTAATTGTAAATATAATTGTATCTGTTGAAATTTTTGAATTAATTAAAAAATGATATTTTATTAACTTTTTATATTTATAATATAATATTTGTATTTCTTTTTTAAATAATTTACTAACTTTTTGTAAATAATTTGAAAACTATTGAAAATAATAACTATTATATGATCTTCTTTAATTTATAATAAATTATCCGCCACATGTTTAACTAAAATCACACACATTAACATATATAAATTTGTTTTTTTTATCATTTTTTTTTTTTTCTCTTTGTTTTCGTCTCACTGTCATTTTTTTATCGTATTAGTAGGTAACCCTCGTATAATACAAGGTACCTATACATATATTGACTATCATTTATTTCCAGTATGCCATTATTTGCGGTGTGTATAACGCGAGTCAACTTTTTGCAAGCCTAATTGCGCTAAAATTTTATTCTTTATACGCTGAGAGAAAACTTGAAATTAAATTCTATTTCAAAATTCTATTTTCTTTAAAGTCTTTGAAGTACATATGAATGATGACTGACGAATCATATAATCTCACTTATACACATAATATAGTTTTAGTTCACATAATCATCAGATTGATTAGAGTAATTTAGAATGATAACAATATAAAATTTAGAATGAATTGATTTAAAATGCAAGTAGTTGAAACATAATTTAACCTTAACATTTAGTAGAATAAAATTTAAGCATAGAATAGAATTAAGCTAGATTTAAGTTGGCATTAGAGTACTTAAAACTGATTAAGACTCATTTATAGTTTAATAATTAAAATCTATTCGAATCAATCGAATCTAATCAAATTTAATATAGTATATATTAAGAATTACAGATAACCTGCTTCAAAGGCTGAAGTCTTGGATTAAATTAAACTTATTTAGAAATATGTTCTCTCGGCGTGAGCTACCATTGCGTCGTGCTAATATTATGCAAATTATCTGATGCTGTATTCACCACTTGTAAATTATTTCAACTCGGATATCTGTTTTATCAATACTAGCGTACGAGATACGTTCAGGGGCGTCCCTAAGTTAGTGTAGACTATTATGTGCAATGTTTTTTCGTTAGCTGCCTTGCACGCGGCAGTGTTCATTATTGTTATTATTATTATTATTATTATTATTATTATTATTATTATTGTTATTATAATTATTATTATACTATTAATCTTTCACTTTAAGTAAGAAAGACGACATTTCTTCAATTCGGCACCGTATATTCATATGTGTATTTAATATGCATGTTTATTCGTGATCAAAATAATCACGTATTGTACGTAACGTAGAAACGAAAGCCGTTATTAATTATTGTTATCGTTGTAATCATTATTATTATTATTATTATTATTATTTTGTAGTAATTTTTATTTAATCAATTGTATAATTATTATACTCTCTTTTTTCGTTTTAACCTTTGCTCACTGTATGAATCAGATATTAAATAGCTTGAACGAAAATCAAGAAAAATAAATATTGATGGGTAAATCGTAAGTTATCGTATCGTTAGATTTTCACATATCACGGTGATCATTTACATATCATATAAACTTTTTTTGAACACTGCCGCGTAGTACCAACCGAAATCATGCGCGCAAAACGTAAAACTCTGATCAATTTTGATCTATTTTTCATATGATTCGAGTTAAAAAACTCTTATTGCTTCGGGTCGGCCCTGCATGGATCGTGTTCAGTACGTATATTCGCCTAATAACGACTAATTTTCAATTCGATTTCATTTACAACTAAGCGTAGCATGACCTCGACCTCGTCGATTTATTATAATCTATTTTACACAACAGAAAGAAAACAGAATCAATAGCAAAAATATTGATAATATTAATATTTAATTTTTGTTTAATATGTTTTGGTAAATTATAAAATTGTAGAATGAGGAAATTATTAAAAAAATAAACAAATGAATTGATAAAAAGGAAAAAAAGTAACTACACATAGAATCTATAAACAAATTTTCAAAGAACAAAAAATAATTAAGTCAGACATACGTTTAAACGTGAATATCTGAAATAAATCGACGAGGAGAGATGGGCTGATGTGTTAAAATAAGATAATTAACATAGAAAGAGCGAACGGAGTGTTGTGTAATCATGCTGCGAAATTCTTAATCTCATATCATTTCATAACATAAATACACATCAGCCGTGAATGTCTAACCTGACTAGCCTAACGATGGGTATCCTTGCAGGTGCCGTACTGCGCCCAATTGGTGAGCAATAGCGCGTGTTGTGTGCATCGGTAATCACGTCACTTCTACCTCACCTATAATCTTCTCTACCCGCCTTTTCTTCTCTTTTATTTATTGTTAATGTTTGTTCTTTTATTCTTACTTCTCACTTGTCACTCGAGCTCGAATGCTTTTATTTTCTTCTGTCCGCTTATTTCGAATAGCACTTGATACCTCTTTTCTCCCCTTTTTGGCCATTGGCCAAATTTAATCGCTTCTTATCTACGAGTCCTCGTTTCGAGTTTACTTTTTCTGTCGTAATAGTTCGTTTAGAATCCATTAGAGGAAGTAATCTAGTAATATGTCCCTGGTACATTCGTTCGTAGAGGTCTCTTGCGTTCGTTGATCGCCGCACGCTGGTCACCAGGCATGAACCTTTCCGGACGTTTTCTTGCGTTAGGTTACATGCACTGATCGTTTATGCCACGTGTATTTAAAATTCATTTAAGTTTTTAGATATTGGTGATTTTTTTTTTAATTATTTGATTTGTTTGAAATTTTTTAATAGTATATCGTATAAAAAGAGAAGGTGGCGTTAATAAATATATTATATACGATCGTTTTTGACAGCGTGTGGCATAGACAAGTAGACATTGACACTGCGCAAGAAAGTTTTAACTCTAAGAGTAAAATTAAATCGCGAGCACGTCGCATGTTTCGTATTAAGAATTATATTCAGAATTACTCTTGATCGATCCGAAGACGATTATTATCTTATTATTTAATTCGATTCGTAATATGTATTTATAAATATTTTGTATTCGTATTTAAGTTAATAATCAATATGCTATTAACGTTAAATTCAAAATATCAAATTTATTTATTATTAAAAAAAAAAAAATGAATGTTAATTATTTTTATCATTAAAAAGTAAAAAAAATTTGTGCAATGGAAAGAAATGAAATATTATTATTAATTGATTCTAATATTATTGATTGCACTTTTTTTTCCTTTGCAAAAATAAAAGATAAATTTAAATCTATTGTATTATTATTGTTTCAATATTTCTTTCTGTCGATCGTTCGATCAAGAATGCTCAATACGATCCTCCACTTTAATTACAGTGGTTGAATGCACGTTTACAATGATTCGCATGTACCGATTCACCTCACGTTTTTTTTTTCTGACTAAAAAAAATACAGTTAACTTTTCAATTCATTCGATTCAAAAACGCACATTAAAAATGCACTGTCGTTAAATTGAAAAAAAAAAAAAAAAAAAGAGATAAATTCGGATTTCTAAAATATTTGATATCGGTCGGGTGCACGACGCACGTGGTGACAGACACACGCTCACGTACAAATATACGTACACAGAATTGCATTATAATTCATTTTTTGTGTTTCCTTTATTATTATTATTGTTATTATTATTATTATTATTGTTATCATCATTATTATTATTACTATTATTATTATTACTATTACTATTATTATTATTATTACTATTATTATTACTATTATTATTATTATTATTATTACTATTATTATTATTATTATTATTATGATTTTGTTACACTTGAGCCTCTTTTGCACCCTCCTCTGATCTGCATTCGAGATTCGATAGAAGCACCAAGAATCTCTTTCTCTATCTATCGAGTATTATTTAGCAATGATTCTGGCAAAGAAAAAGAAAAAAATAAGATAAAAAATTTACTCATTCTTAAGAAAAAGATAAAATCTAAGATATAACGTTTGAAATTGTGCAAAACATAATTTTTAATCTATATTTTTATATGAATTAGATTTTAAAAGAATTTTTTAGTTGAAAATATATGTTATTTTCTTTGTGAATTTAATTACAAATTATTGATCAAAAATCATAAGATTTAATCATTTTGCTAAAATCATTGCTGGAAGTAGTGATAACCTAGATACGGTATCCTCAAGGTCAAATACATACTATGAAAATTCATTGTTTTGTTTCCCGAATGTCAGAGCATGATTGTTATGAGTCGAGTTCTTGTAATTTGTGCTTGTAAAAGCAATATTTTTATTAATCGTGCACGAGAAAGATCCATCGAATCTGATCCATCAGCATATATAAAGGACGCAAATTTTCACCGCAAACGGATTCATCGTGCAATCGTCGTACGCGATTTCGACGAAACAATGAATTACATATTATGTGGAGGATTACCTGAGTATCCCCTTCAGCAATGCGAAAAGTCTTGGACCAACGAGTTACGAGTTAATCAGGATGATTACAATATCCGCGATTATTCTTCACATGCTTTCTCATAAAACAAATCAACGAATATTGATTCATATCATATACAACGAGCATTAGATTCATATAATTCGTTCTAACCTATGAAAAATGATTATGCACGCTCACGAATTCACGTCAAAGTCAGACGCACTTCCTTAGTAGGTTTTCTGGATAAATATTTAAATCAAACAAAATTATTATATCCTCTCTTTGAATTCGCAAAAGATAGCTCGCTAAAATATTAAAAAAAAAAAAAAACAATCACATTGCAGATCACGCTAGATTTCTAAATCATATTTTATAGAATTTCAAAATTTCCCGCTTCTGACTATCCTCTATAACTGCATCACGCACCCGATAGATGGTAGCACGCACGCGTATACCAAGACTTTTCGCGCGGACAAGGGAGTATTCGCGTTGAATTTTGTAAAGAACGAAAAGAAATAAATTGATTGAAAAAGAAACGGAAGAGGGCGAAAGTCAGGCGAACACGATACAGTCGCTTGGTCCCGTTCGTTTCGCCGTTGGCTAACCCAGTGTCCAACGAACCTCTCCGTAGGACGGGCAGCTATGCTGCAGCTACGATTACGGCTGCGCTGGCGATCTGGGCAGCAACAAGCAGCAGCAACGTCCTCCAGTCGTTGTTCCTGAGCCTGTCGTACGCAGTCTACAGAGTTCTACGCGGTCACCGATGGTTGATGGTGCATCGGAAGCAGCTGTATCAGCGGTTACCGCTTCCGCTAGTGCAACACCAGTCACCAGCGCTCACCTCCTGTCGGCATCGTCTTCTTCCTCCTCATCCATTAACAACGCCGCCGCCGGTGGTGGGTCGAGCATCAGAAAAATTCACTGGAACGTACAAAACAACCTGCCAAAACCATCCCAGCAACAGAGGGACGGTCGTCACGTCAGAGTGCAAACACAGCAACAACAGCAAATTTTACCGACAGCCAGGTACCAGCTGGTTTCTGGAGCAGCGACGACGTCGTCGTCGGCGCCTGAACGCGTTACATCCGCGTCGACGTCGTCGACGACGACGATTAAAGCTCCGAACACGAAATACGAGGGCAAATCGCAGACGTCCGTATCGAGGCGTCAACGCGCTAAAGCGGCCAACAACAACAGTCTCGGGAACTTGCGTCAGCGCAGCAATGCGTCCTTTGTATCCTCCTCCTCTTCCTCCTCCACCTCGTCATCGTTATCGTCGTTCTCGTCACCTCTCGCAATGCTGGTGCCATCTGGAGCCGCAACAAACATCGAGCCGCAAGCTGACAACGTCTCAACCAGTAACGGTAACGGTACTAGCGAGAATGTGGTCACAAATGGTTACCGTCAGCCGGCATCAACAGGAGGGCACCATCGGCGTAGCGATGGCGGAGAATCCGTGGCGCGCAACAGTGGTGCCACCTGAGGCTGACGCTCGCGTGAACAGTTAGAAGAGAAAGAAATAAACACTGGCAAGGCATTCCAAGGGGTGTAGCACGGGAACTGGGCCGTGGCCCGATATAGGAGCGAGTTTGGAGAAGCGTTCTCTCTATGGTCATCTATGATCGTCTAATCGAGGGTGTTGTCGAGGGAAGCGAGTGCACTGAACAAGAGGAACGCGACCACGGAGTGAAACATTGAAAAGCACAACAAGGGGAATCCGTATGGATTTGATTGTTCGACGATCATGGGCAACGAGCGTGATAAACATACCAAGGATGAACGTCCAGTTTCCTTGACGAAATCGATCCTCGTCCAACTTCCAGAAATCGTTGCGTATCTAGATCGTCTATCAAGATATATTTCTTATTATCTGTGGTCTGTGCTTGTCTGACTTGAGCCACGATAGGACGTGGAAAAAGCTATCGATACTCGAGTTTGGATATAGATTAGGTCAAGCTTGACGCTTCGAGGACACAGTGTTCAGCGAGGAGTAATGATTGACCGAGGAAAGTTAGGTGTGCCAAAAATGTGAGCCAGCCAACACCGAGAACGAAGTTGAAGTTTCTGTTTGTGATGACATACGCGGATTCGATATGTTCCCTCTGATTACTTTCTTTCTTTTTAAATTTTTCTTTTTTCTTTTTTTTTTTTTTTTTTTTTTTTTTTNTTTTTTTTTTTTTTTTTTTTTTTTTCTTGTCCCGAAGAGATCGAACAATCGAACAGAGGGCGGATCCGTCATTGTCGTTGATCGTTGATCGGACGAAATGTCTTTCCTCGCGTTTTGAGCTGGGTCAAGCATAACACAAGTGAGAGAGAATCGAGAAACTGAGCCCGTGACGCGCGGTGTCCTTCGGAGCGTTCTCTGAAAAAAAGCAACACCGATCACACGCTTTCGCGATTCCTTTCTTTGGCATAATTTCCATGTTGAACAGGTAGCGCACAATATTTGGGCCTTATAAAAATTATAAACAGGAAAACGAGAAAATAAAAAAAAAAAGTAAAAAAAGAAAGGGTGTCTTTCTTCGTCTTTTCGCCAACGGAAAGGCTAATACCGTGTAATTTGAATCGTGTTCTCTGTTTTTAAGGCAAGACGAGAATATAAAAAAGTAAAATGATTAGGAATTAGTAATTTATCGTAAGGAATTGAATATCCCAACGAGAAGGACAAAGAAATAAAATTATCGAAATGCGTTATGAAGAGCTCCGTAATATACTTATTAATATATACAAATATATATATATATGTATATTATATATATATATATGTATAAATATATATATACGTGATGTATATTCAATATACGGAATCATGCGTGAAACATAAACGATTCTATTTATAGAGTAATGTGAATCGAGATCGATCTTGTCGATTATATAAAATAAAAAAAGAAAGGAAAAAGTATGTGTACACCTAACATATATATGTATAAAAAAAAAAAAGAATATTCTACAATGGATCATATCTCGACAATATAAGGTAAACGCGCGATATACACCAAATTATAATGCGGACATTATAGAGATCGTGTCTTCTTGGATAAAATGGAAGCGATTAATTAAAAGGGCAAAAAAAAAAAAAAAAAAAAAAAGAAAAAAAAATAAAGTGGATAAAAAATCATATAGTCTTTACGCTTGAAACGTTAACGTTTAAGAGTCATCGTTATGTATTAGGATAACGCGAAGATTCCGATTTTCGTGAAGATCTAGAGAGAGAGAGATAACAACACTGCTTTTTTTTATAGAGAGCCAATTATAAGCCGGTTCAGTTTCTCTGGTTCTGAAACGCTGCATGGTTTATGCCTGATCCATATGTGTCGAATCATAGAGCGCGCAACCTGTGCCTCCGAGGATTCAACATCCATTAGTCTTCACTATTTATACAGTGAAAAATTAAACGTGTTCGTTGGATTATTTCAAACAAAAATTACATTTCAGATACTTTATTTGTACTTTATTGAAGTATTGTTTGATCATGATACGATAATTATATATATAATATATATAAATATAAAGTCATTTGAATCCGTTAAAAGAAGAGGTTAGAAAGTTTTTAGATTTGTTTTTAGTTATAGTGACAAAATAAGGTGAGATGCTCGAGTTAAGTAGTATTTTGAAAAATGCATTGTTATTAATTGAATTTATATGCAAATCTTTTCGATTGAAATTAAGAATACGTTTAATTTTTTACCAATGTAATTGGGTATATTCTGTTCAATTATAAGTTGCATACCGGACGATGAACGTGCCGGTTTGCTTGAACGATTCTTTATCTCGCTCAACCCAATGCGATCACTACGACTACATTCCTCCTTGATTAACAATAAGTAGGCACTAAAAAATGAGAGAAACATATAAATATATATATATATATATTTATAAATATTTATATATATATATAAATATATAAATAAACGAAGAAATAAAAATGTGGATAAATTAATTAATTAAAGAAGCAAGGAATGGATGGATAAATAAAATAAATAAATAAATATAATATATATATATACACATATGTATATATAAATATATATAGTGTTGTATAAAAGTTTTAGGTCATCTATCAAACAAGAATATTTTGTTTTTATGATACTTATATTATATTATTTTAATATTTAATTCTGTCATTATTATTTAATTAAAAAATGTTTAATGCAAGAATTAATTACTTTAAAATATTATATATTTTATCTAAAATATAATATTCTATATGTGTTATTTTTATTTTTCTTTGCAATTGTTTTTTTTCTCAAAATTGTTCTCCATTTTTCTATTTCATCGTAAACCGTATCATTTTCTATCATTTATTTTTATATTTTAATATTTTTGAATTAACCAAGAAAATAAGATAATGAGCAAATATAGAAATTTATTTTTATGTGATAAAATATGGAATATTTCATATGTATGATACATATTTAGTTAACAATAATAAAACCAATAATATAAATGACCTAAGACTTTTTGTATAGTACAGTATATATATATACATGAAGAGAAGGCATTAATATAACATACATGTACGTATATATATATATATATATATACGTAAATAAGGATAAAGATGAAGCATTCAAATAATGAATCAATTAATGGCAAAAGAAGCGTACATTCGTAATCGTTTATTCGATGTGCAATAACATAAAGGTAACGGCTTAATTTGTAAAGAAAGCTATTAGATGCGCGGAACCAGTGTTGCTCTATACATAATAAGGGAGGATTTTCATTAGTGTAACACGAACATTTGTTAGTCACAGTCGCGTGGCGGCTGTTGCCCTCTAGTATTCCACCATGCTTAAACCTTTGATTTCTTCCTTTCTTCCTTTTTTTTTTTTTTTTTTTTTTTTTTTAATATATATTCAACAAAATTTCGAGGAAATCAATCTTATTATCAATTCAATCTTATGAACTGACTCGTGGAAAAATTGGCGGGGAGGACAGCCATTTTGTATTATAAAATTCGTCACGTGAAACAACGAAAAATTGACGTAAGATGGCGGCCAGTCATGCGACTTCGAAGTTCAGAGCACTCGTACGAAATGACGACGATTCGTTTCAATTTTTTTTACATACAAGAATATATATATATAATTTTCCATCGCGACCATCGAAAAGAAATGAAGAATAAGAAAAGGTCGCAGGTAGTTCCTCAAGTTAAAAAAGAATTGAACAACGAGCCTTGTGCACTTCGTACGTGTACACGAACAAGATATACACATATACACACGCATAAATATGATAAATGATCGAAAAAAAAAAACGTGCATTGGGTAATAAATTAATCACTATTATCTACAAATTGATCGATGAACACGCTGCGTTGCTCTGATTGTATATAGGATGTGTAATATTAGACAACATATTAGCGAGGCGTACATACACATACATACATCAACAAATTGTAGTATCAGAAGGTTATTTCCTTCGTTGAAATTTAATTACGAACGAATTAACAATTTAATGACACCAAGTCAAAACGAGATCAATATATGACACGAATTTATTGATGTGTGACAAAAAAAAAGGATGATGATGATGAATGATGATGGATGATGAAGAGAGAAGGAAATTTTCTCGGATTATTTTGATATTGATAAATTAAAACCTTTATTGCCACGTGAAATCTTCAAAAATTAAGACCAACGTTGAATTTTTTCTCTCTTTAAATCGTTTTATATATATTTACATATTCTCTCTCTCTCTCTCTCTTTCTCTTTCTCTCTCTCTCTCTCTCTCTCTCTCTCTCTCTCTCTCTCTTGTTCTCTTCGCAATGTTTTTCAAAATTCCAAGACGAGAACGGGACAAAGAGATCGGCGCATCGTATCGTAAACTAGCATACAATTAATTGATAAATAAATAGAATTGTATTAATTATTGTATTATCGATAAATAATCGTGTTAAGCATTTACGACAAATTAATCTCGAGGAGTGGGGATAACAAGAGGAAGGACGAGTCTAAATATTATATAAATGTATAAGTGGAAACGAAAGAAAAAGGACAAAAAAAAAAAAAGGAAATATCAGAATCATTGAAAATTAGAGACGATATTAATTATTAAAGATATACTATGTTAGATGTAACGTTGCGTGGCCGGAAGAGGAGAGGAGAAGATAAATAGAATGCTCCGTTGCCAGTTTTCGTTTTGCTATAATAATATTTTATATATTACCATCATAGTCTAAGAACATTCAACAAAGTCTATTCTAATTTTTTTGAACAGATAAAAATAAGGGAAAATTAATGAAAATTACTTCGTATTTTACGTTTGAGAAAACAAAAAATTATTCAATGAACTTCTGAATTCTGATCGCCATGATGGAATCGTAAGTCTCCTTCGAGGAATTAACAATTAACTTATTTCTGGCAACGTGGCATTTGTCCGCCATCATTCGTGCGTTGTCCTTTATTTGATTAGACAAGATAGCCAAGACAGATCTCATTATGAGGTAGATAGGACATGTAAGTATAAATCGTTAGGTAGGGTAGATACCTGAAAGCAGGGCGGCGATAAACTGAGCCAATGTCGCGTGCCATAGCGAATTTAATCGTAATAGCATTCACTCGTTGCTCTTCATACTTTGGATAGATTTGAAAACTCAAAAAAAAAAAAAAAAAAAAAAAAAAAAAAANAAAAAAAAAAAAAAAAAAAAAAAAAGAAAAAAAAGAAAAAAAGAAAGAAAAAGAAAAAAGAAACGAAAAAATCGATAAAGGAAAACGATGAAATATGGAAAAACCTACCTACCTTTCACTGGAAAAAAACTATACAAAAAGAGAAACGAACTCTAAAAACTGTTGATAAAAAAAAAAAAAAAGAAAGAAATAAGTAGTTAAGAAACAGCGAAAGAGATCAGCTCTGGAAGACCTCTTTTATAGTGTTACTTAATTATTAATAACAATTTACCACGTTATTCCTGACTATTGTTAGTTAATGCCTAATTACTTATTACCGAAGTAATTAACTACACAACGATTAACTAGTAAGCGCTTTTAAATTAAAGGAATATTAACGAGGATCTAATTACAGCCAGCCTAGTCTCAGTTTACTCTGTGCTAACACGTAGACGTTTTTACCGTTACTATCTAACTGGCACTAATTGTTACCGTCATCGTCACTGTTTCGTTCGATCTCGTCATGTACATGCGTGATCAGCGGAGTCTGCATTAACTTTCGTGGCCTAACCTTTGCAAAGACGAAACAAATACGAAACTTGAAAGAAAAAATAACAAATACATTTTTTTTTTTTTTCTTTTTTCTTGGATATGTCGAGCAAATACTTTCTTAATCTACCAAGGATTTTTTTCCAACGATAAAACATTTTATCCGTTTCTTCTATTCGTCACATTGTTATTTTATGGCCACAGAAGTGGCTGCAGCGTCCCAATCTATCTGGTACACGCTCAACATCGAACCAGACAAATCAAACGAATCGTTGCTAGTATTATACTATTGTCTCTATACGCATACTAATGGCTGGCGCAATCGTCACTGCCGAAATTAATCATCGTCATCTTTGTTCATTTTGATTATCCTATCAGGGTACAGGCGGTCGACAACTGAACGTCGAGTTTGTAAAATTGTTAACCACGTGCTCTTTAAACTAACTAATTGTCATAACTATTGTCTAACTATTTACTAAACTTAACGCTGTCATTGAAATGGTCACAACTCGCGATATACAAATAGGTAATCTTGTTTCTTTTTTTTCGTACAAATCGATCGAGATTGTAAATCTTGGATCGATATCGAGACCGACACGACCGGGAAAAGAAGACGAAATCGAGTGTTTGCGTCTGCGCCGCCCTCTGCATATAGGTGTACGCTACCTGGTGATGTGACGTCGGTAAATTCAATTAGACTGTGCGAACGTGGAAACGTGAAATTTCGCTCTTCCAATGTGTATGTGTACTGATCACTCTTCGACTGCCGTACATTCAAATCCACTGTTTCGTCGAATCAAACTTAGACAAACGTATCGGGATACGTTTGGTTAAGGGGCAAATATAATCTTCGTTGATTTTTGAACGTTTATTCCGGCTACATGGAATTGTGAAAACGATCAACATCACAATCTTACGATTCTTTGTACCATTTATTCCATTTATATGGGATGACGGGGAATGGGAATCGTTATGCGGGTGAAGTTTGCGTGAAATAGGTTAGGTCGACTTATGTTTGGTATACGGCGAATAAAAAAAAAAGAAAAGAAAAGAAAAGAAAAGATAAGATCAAAATAAGTAATTAATATCATAATCATCGGGGATTTATGATGTTTTGCCGATGTCATGTCACTAACATCATATTACCTCCTCGGTATTTCCGCCTACCTTGTCCTTCCTCCTTCCCCTGACTCTTCCTTCAGTCGCCAGTATCAAGTCTCCTCGAGCGAACGAAACGTTCTCTGACCGAACTGAATTCGTTTCTACCCATTGCTCACGATTAACCCATGTATAATCATGAGACTGTTGACCAATACGAAACCGATCGTGTTGTCCAAGATGATTGACTGACTGAAAATTCTTGTTAACCCTCTATAGACAACATATAGTTCCTAGCTTAATTTCATCCCATCCAAAAATATAAACCATATTATAAGCCCAATTTTCTCATTCAGATTTAATTGAAAGGTAACGATGACTTAACTCAGGTTTAACTAATGCGATATAGACTTAGCCTAAACTGAAACTTATAAATTCATCCTAGATGAAATTCGTTATAGCTCGGGTATAACTTAACCTTAACCTTAATCGAAACAATTTCAGAGACTTGTTATAGCGCTAGTTATCAGGCCTAGCTTTAATCTCGGTATAATAGCGTTAATCTAACGTTAATCGTTATAAGGTTAAGCCTATAAAAAGGTTACACATGATCAAGGGTTAACGAAGCAACGATTCTTGGACTCGATCGTTTCCTGTTGGTCGTGCAAATCGTTTGTAACCGCGTGCAACGATTATCTTGAGCGTTTTATGTCGGTCATGGACTGAAGCTGGGTGCGGAAAGGAAGTATAAACGAATATTATATATGTAAATCTCGAATTTTTGGGATCCAGAATGCTATGATAAAAAAGGAAAAGAAAAAAAAAAAAAACGTGTTTTCGAGCGTCGCCCGGATGAATAAAAAGCAATTACTATATCTATAGCTTTGTTTTTTTTTGTCTTGTTAATAGTTAACCAGATTCACGATTCCTTCTCGAAAATCTCATTCAATTTTTCCGTTCATCAAAGAGTTTATCATCGAGAAATTTAATCGAAAGAAAAAGAAGAAGAAAAAAAAAAGAAAAGGCCTGATAAATTAATTTATCAAAATTTTACAATCACGTCAATCATCCCATGCTTGTTGTGCGGCGAATGTTTTTACATATATGTACAAGTTCAATTCGATAGCCTACGAATCAGGGACGGATCCAGATTCGTAAAACATAGGAGATCGCAACCTAACCTCTAAATCTTGATCACTAGTACTATCGACGAGTCGTTAGAAACGTAATATAATTACGTACAATTAAATTTCGTTTTGATTAAATTTAGCTTTAGTCAAATATATTTTATTTTTCGTCTTTTTTTTCGTTTATATTATTTTTAAATAGCGCTATCGTTTCTTTTTCGCCTATGAATCAATCCACATGATTGGATCTGCTCACATTTACGTACAATTACAAATGTATTGTTTTATTGTACAGTATCGCTGTGTTATCAGTATAAAAGAATTAATTTTCTAGTCAAGTCATGATTATGAGTAATTTTAAGTTGGCAGTCGATAATTTTTCCATCGTTATGAATATAATGTAAGATATTATATTTCTCCTTCTTTTTCACACTCTTTTTTTTTCTTTCCTTTCAATTTCCTTTCTAAGTCGCACGTGGCTCGTCGTTAAAGAAAATGAATATTCATAAAATAATATATCAAGAAACGATAAAGAGGATAATTGTGAAATACAATGATTCAATGTATTAATTATTATGAATCATTATTATTATAATTCTTACAATTATGATTATCATTATTATTATTACGATGATTTTAATTATGATTATTAATTGATTGATCGTCGATTATTAGTTATTAATACAATTATATAATACCTTTGTAAATGAGAATCAAGACATTGACGGATAGGTGAAAAACTTAATAAATTGAAATTCTATTAACCCAAACGCGTTCCACTGTTATTCCAATTCCCATTGAATTATTTATTAATTTTCTTTCGTGATTAATAAAATGAAACTTTTGGTATTTTTTGCTTACTATTTATTAATTTTTTTTTCAACTTTCAATACTTTAAATTTCAAATCATATTTTTTTTTTTATATATAAATTGACGTCATTCTATAATGAATAATACTTTTTCAATTAAGAAATCTAAAGACAAAGTTACAATATTATTAAGAGATATTAAGATTTTTATGATTGGCAATGTTTCAATAGAAATTGCGTAACGAAGACACAATGTTTTATTTTACTTTTTATTGTATTTAAATCTGAAAATTGAATCAAAAAAAAAATTTTAGAAAAACTTTTCTTTATTATACTTTTCCTTATTATATATTTTATTACATTTTTATATATTTTATTTAACGAAACATATTTTCGTTCATTTGCTTTAAAGCGGAGAAAATGGAGAAATTTTGAAGTATTAATTAATAATTAATGGAAAATGATACAGCTTAAATTTTACTCTTATAAATCTTCTATTTTATCATTGTTTTCTTGTAATTTATATTTGAGATTTTGGTAAATATCATGGTACACAAATGAAATAAATAATAATATGGAAATTATATCTTTTAATTTTATCTTCATAAAATTATGATATATTTATATATATTTATTATATATATATTATGATATATTTATATATAAAAATTACGATTAACAGATAAAAATTATAAATTGCATAAAATACACGAAGAAAATAATTGTTTATATATATAGTTACAGTAAAGATAGAAATTTTGCTTCATAATAAAAGAATAATAATTAAATAACAAGAGATGATAGAATTAATTAAAATTTCATTTTTCAACATTTCATTTTTTTTCATTTGTGGTATAAGTCTTGCATTGAATTACTCAATTGTGATCTACATATATGTAAACAAATCTACATATTCTATCGTTTAACTGGTATCGGTTTGGGTTATCGTTTATATTCTTTCTTATTGTTAAGCTACTGAAAGAGTCGAATTCGTAAATTTTATAAGGCCACGACACTAGTTCTTTTGTGCAGCGTGATTTTCTAAATATTTTTTAGCCACGATAATAGAAATAAAAATTCAAAAGTTAAAATTTATTTTAAAATAAACACTTTTCCATGTTAATTTGTATTTTTACTATATACTATATACTATACACTATATAATAAAATTTATTGACATATATATATATATATATATATATATATATATATATATATAATTTATCATTATTATTATACATATTATTATATATATTTCTGTTAATCATTTTTGAAAAAATAAATAATGCAGTTTATGTTTGAATATAAATCAATAATTTTTAAAGGATTATCAAAAAATTCTTCCAATATGAAAATTCCAAAGAATTATAAATAAATATTTAGAGAACTTTTATTCATCATTTTGAAAATTTTTCAAATTTTTAAGAATCATAGTTACTATAAAAAAAGGAGGAAATGAAATAAATAAATAATAATTTAAATAAATCAAAGAATATTCAAAAATGATGAAAAATAATATTAAAAATTAATTGATATAAAATGATAATACATCAAATAAATATTCAAAAATTTTTTGCTTGTTATTAATAATTTTGTGAAAAATAAAAAAAATTTTATTAAATGAACAAAGTTTTGAAGAGATTATAGTATATAGAAAGAGAAATCAAAAATTGAATATTACAGAATAAAGCGAATTAAGTAATGAATTCTTTTTCTTCAAATTTTATTATATGTATAAAATATTTTTGTTATATTTTTATTACAAAAAATTCAGATTGCAAATATTTCAACAAATTTAAAAAGCAATATATACATATATACTTAAAAACTTTTATCAAATTGTATATATATAAATAAATAAATATATATTTTATACTATATACATAAATAATAATGCTAATAATGATTTATCGTGAATGAATTATTACATCATAAAAATAGCTTAATTATAAATAAAAATAAAAAAGAAACATTAGCATATTAATAAAAAATAGAATCAATAGAATGAACATAAAACATTTAAATATTATTATAACTTATAATGCTTATCGATAATGCAAATTTTTTTATGGAGCGATATTTTTCTAACACCAAATAAGACTTTTTACTTGTATAACTTCGAGCAGTCGATATAGTACACAATGACTTGGGTCACTATAAACTAGTAACGATCAAGACAGTCCTCTTCAAGCAACGATTAAGTCAATATGGCGATTCCCCTGGATTTGAGGGAAGCGACAGCGGAACAGATGCAAGATTTCTTGAATTCGTTTGACATCATCTTTTCCGATTGTGATGGCGAGTTATTTTATTAATTTATTACTACTTATCATTACTACTTACGGTTGTTTATGCATTTATGTAAAATGTATGTATAATGAACGTAAAAAAAAAAAACTTACATAATACATGACATGCAAAAAGACACTAAATATGGAATTCAAACAATAAAACAATAAAATAAATGTAATTTTATTTTTTCATAAATCATATTTATAAAAATTTTGCATAAACATCCGCAGTCTATTTATTATCTTATTATAGATATTAAAAATTCTTTTTGCGTTTGATTCATTACCTTGCTATCTATTTTTTTTTTTTGTGGTGTACGAAGGATAATATTAAAAAATATACGTGTTATACAGGTGTTATTTGGCATTTGTTAAACCCAATACCTGGAGCGATTTTGTCGCTTAAAAAACTACAAGATTTGGGCAAAAAGCTGTATCTAGTGTCGAACAACAGTAATAAAAGTATAGATGAATATATCAAAAATTTTAAGAAATATGGATTGAGTGTCGAACCGGTGAGTTGATTTTATGATTAAATTAAATTTTTGTTTTAAAGATCTAAAAAAATGACACACTAAGAAAAATTGTAAAAATATAAAAAGAAACACGGTAAATGTACGATAAGTGCGTGAAATCTTCTTCTAAATTATATTCTCCTAGTAGAAAATCCTAGTAGAGTTCTTAGCTAAAAGTTTCGATCTATTGTTCGAATACTTGGAAATTTCCAAGAATTTGACGTCAGTTCCAAGAATTATCGAAATTCCGAGAATTTGACGTCAGTTCTAAGAATTTTAGAGATTCCGAGAATTTGACGGAAAAATTTTTCGATCGACCTCCTATCGTATTATGTTCTCCTAATACAAAGTCGAATTTTTGGATAAAAATTTTACTAGCGCTCGGGGAGTTTCGATATTAATCTTTTTTCTTAAATATCTCGTTTATCCTTCACAGTATTAAAAAATGCTTCGAACAAAAGTTAAATGGTTTCGAAAGAGCTATATTCTGGTGCCCTTATTTTTTTCGTAAGTGGATTCATAAAAAATTTCTCAAGCTCCACTATATTTTTTTAATGACATCATACATTTCAAAGCATCAGTAGATGTATCATAATATTTCCTATAAAAAAGTACTAAACCATTTGCAGCAAAAAATCATTGGTTTAAAAGATATTTAATTAAATTTATTTATTTTCTAAACTATAAGTTTTTTGCTATATATCGTTTAATACTTTTTTATAGAGAACGCTAAAAGACATTAACTGGTGTATAAAAAAGTGTATAGTTCTATTTAAAAAAACAACGTTCACTTTCATAAGTCCTTTACGCTTCTTTGCATAAAAAAATAAATAGTAGCTGGATGTGCACATCTCGAAATCATATAACTTTTGTTCGAGACATTTTTTTATATTTCCAGGAACAAACGAAATACATCAGATAATACTATTCGGACACCCGGTATAATATATTATGCATTCGGGTATTAAAAGTAATGAAAATATTTTAGAAAAAAAGAAATACAGTACATGATTTTTTAAAAAATTAAAAAACTGATAAAAAACGCACTAAAAATGATAGCACTGGCGATAAAAGATAAGTGTGCAAAAAATAAATACCTTAATTTATATAAATTGTGAAAAAAAATGTTTGAAAACTTTATAAAAACTTTATAAAAATGGTAACACTAAGAGAAATGATAAAAAAATAAGTATGAGTACAGTAAATGTATGATAGTATGTAAAAACTCCTTTTAAATTATATTCTCCTAATAGAAAATCGAGTTTTTAGCTAAAAGTTTCGATCTATTGTTCGAATACTTGGAAATTTCCAAGAATTTGACGTCAGTTCCAAGAATTTCAGAGATTCCGAGAATTTGACGTCAATTCTCGGAAAAATTTTTCGATCGACCTCCTATCGTATCATGTTCTCCTAATACAAAGTCGAATTTTTGGACAAAAATTTTACTAGCGCTCGGGGAGTTTCGATATTAATCTTTTTTCTTAAATATCTCGTTTACCCTTCACAGTATTAAAAAATGCTTCGAACAAAAGTTGAATGGTTTCGAAAGAGCTATATTCTGATGCCCTTATTTTTTCCCTAAGTGGATTCATAAAAAACTTCTCAAGCTCCACTTTATTTTTTTAATGACATCATACACATTTCAAAGCATCAGTAGATGTATCATAATATTTCCTATAAAAAAGTACTAAACCATTTGTAGCAAAAAATCATTGTTATAAAAGATATTTAATTAAATTTATTTATTTTCTAAACTATAAGTTTTTTGCTATATATCGTTTAATACTTTTTTATAGAGAACGCTAAAAGACATTAACTGGTGTACAAAAAAGTGTATAGTTCTATTTAAAAAAACAACGTTCACTTTCATAAGTCCTTTACGCTTCTTTGCATAAAAAAATAAATAGTAGCTGGATGTGCACATCTCGAAATCATGTAACTTTTGTTCGAGACATTTTTTTATATTTCCAGGAACAAACGAAATACATCAGATAATACTATTCGGACACCCGGTATAATGTATTATGCAGTCGGGTATTAAAAGTAATGAAAATATTTTAGAAAAAAAGAAATACAGTACATGATTGTTTAAAAAATTAAAAAACTGATAAAAAACGCAAAAACTAAAAGTGATAGCACTAGCGATAAAAGATAAGTGTGCAAAAAATAAATACCTTAATTTATATAAATTGTGAAAAAAAATGTTTGAAAACATTATAAAAATGGTAACACTAAGAGAAATGATAAAAAAATAAGTATGAGTACAGTAAATGTATGATAGTATGTAAAAACTCCTTTTAAATTATATTCTCCTAATAGAAAATCGAGTTTTTAGCTAAAAGTTTCGATCTATTGTTCGAATACTTGGAAATTTCCAAGAATTTGACGTCATTTCCAAGAATTGTCGAAATTCCAAGAATTTGACGTCAGTTCCAAGAATTTCAGAGATTTCGAGAATTTGACGTCAATTCTCGGAAAAATTTTTCGATCGACCTCCTATCGTATCATGTTCTCCTAATACAAAGTCGAATTTTTGGACAAAAATTTTACTAGCGCTCGGGGAGTTTCGATATTAATCTTTTTTCTTAAATATCTCGTTTACCCTTCACAGTATTAAAAAATGCTTCGAACAAAAGTTGAATGGTTTCGAAAGAGCTATATTCTGATGCCCTTATTTTTTCCCTAAGTGGATTCATAAAAAACTTCTCAAGCTCAACTATATTTTTTTAAATGACATCATACACATTTCAAAGCATCAGTAGATGTATTATAATATTTCCTATAAAAAAGTACTAAACCATTTGTAGCAAAAAATCATTGGTTTAAAAGATATTTAATTAAATTTATTTATTTTTAAACTATAAGTTTTTTCCTATATATAGCTTTTTATTAGGAGAATATAATCGATAAGGATGTGGCATTGGATGTTTTTTGTAAAATTGAAATTTTCAATGATTCTGGCCTAAAATTTCGACTTATTATTAGGAGAATATTGTTGGACTATGTGTGGCACTGTGAAATTTTCCAAAATTTATGGGACGGGAATTTTTATGTTATTGTATATATGTTATATATATTTATTATATATATTTATTATATATATTATATATATTTATTACTTACCTGTAATGTACCTACCTTTTACATGCTTAGCCATTACAATTATCATTTTTTGGAAAGATTTTTAATAGTTTTGTATAATAGTTTTCTTAATTCTAGAAAAACTTTCCTGTTTACTTATTTTTCGAATAGAAATTGCTATTTTTTTTATTAAGTTTATACATTTTGGTATTTTCTATAAAAATATTTGTCCATACATAAAGATTATAAATGTAAGAAATTATTAGTATATATATGGTTAGTTCTAGTGTTGATAATAAATATAAATGTTAATGTACATGTATAAGAAGTTGAATTTTATTTCTTAAATTATACACAATTTATGTTCACAATTTATTAGATGAAGCAAAGTGAAAATAAAATATGTCGCGACGTATCGTGATGAAGCAGAGATAGAATGTATCATTTTATTTCATCTTACGCAAATTCAGAATTGAAAATGAATAAGAAATATAAACAAGAATGTTTACCAAAATGCACATTAAAAGGAGTTTAATATAACAATAAATAATATATAATTCATGTCTTATTAATAAATTGAATTATTTGTATCTTCATTAGGTCTTTGCCTTTTTCTATTTCCTTTTTTTTTTATATAATTTGAAATTATATTTCAGGAACAAATAATAATCAGTGTGAAGGTTATCAGCTCGCATCTGAAAAAGCTTAAAGTTTCAGGGAAAATAGTAGTTTTAGCTACACCACAGTTTCGAGAAAGTTTAAACAAGGATGGATTTCATACAATATTGCCATCTGTAAGATTCGACAAAGATTTAAAATTTTATTATTTTATTTTTAAATTCAAAAGACACGTATAAATAATTATAACTTTTAATTAAAATAAAAAGAAAATAAAAAGAAATAAATTAAATTAATTTTTGAAATAAAAGAAAATACAAATAATTGATATAAATAAATGTATTTGAAAGAAGTTAGTTTCTTATGTTAATTTTCTTTATCATAGTTTGAAATCAACGAACGAGATCCATCGAATACAATAAAAAATATTCATAATCAAGCATGTGTTGATGCAGTCGTTCTCGATTTTTGTAATTATGACTGGGGCTTAATAGTATTTCTTCTTAAATGCTTGAATAACGAATCTGTTCATTACATCACTGGTTGCACAGACGAATATATTTCTTATAGTTGCAATGAGAAGATAATTGGTAAGAAAGTTTTAAATATACCTAATTATAATAATTCGATTAATAGATTATTTTTGATCTACTCGATAACAATGATGCAAAAAATGAAAATTAAATAAATTTGGATTTATAATTGGATTATATAGTATAAATTATAATATTTCGGTATTATTCAATATTATTGAATATAGAAATATTTATATTATAATTTAAGCGTTATAATTTTAATTTAAATAAAGTTTAACTTTAGTATTGATTTGAATACTAATTATTTTATAGATATATTTAAATATCGATTAATATTGTCAAATATTTAAGCATTGACTCGAATATTTAATTGCAAAATAATTTTTATCAATGATTTGCTTTTAATATTTACAGTTATTATTTATTATATAATTAATTATAGGTTCTGGACCTTTTATCGATATAATTTCTAAATACAGTAAAAGATCACCGATAAAATGCGCTAAACCTAGCCAAGTTTTAAAACAATATATTTTTGACACTTGTAACGTGCAAGATCCAGGAAGATGTTTGTTTATAGGTGATTCGTAAGTGGATTTTAAGATTAATATAGTCAAGAATTTTTAAATCGATACAAGATTAATGAATAAAACAAATTTCATTTTCATTGTTGTTTTAGAATAAAAACCGATATGAAATTTGCCCATATGTGTGGATTTAAAAAAATGTTCGTCGATACTGGTATAGAAACTATAAAAAATGCGATAAAAGATGAAGAAACTTGCCCGCATTTCTATCTCCCTAGTTTGGGGATGCTATACCCTATTATCGATTCATTGCAGAATATTTCTAAAAAGCAGAATATTTAAAGTTAACATGAAGATCAGAATACTGAAAAAGGAAGAATGTCAAGAAAAAAATATGTATTAATATGAATATACCAATAAAAATCATAATTAATAACCACATTTCTTATTTTTTTCAATATGTATGAATGTAAAATATTAATATATCTTCTTTGAGAGATCAATTTTTCAGATCATCAAAACAAATATGAATTATTATAATTGCCAAATTTAATTTTTTTAAATTAATAATGTTATTATTATTGCTATATATGCTTAAAGCATACATATTAATTTATCCATGACCAATATTTATATAGTTCATGTTTGCATTATCCTAATAGTAATAACAATTATCCTTATTAGTGTAACTATCATAATTTCTTTATAAGATTATACACTAAGAAGCTAAGTAAATAGAGAAAAAATTAATGAAATTTTCGTACTGATACTAATCACTACTTATTGACTATATTATTGACTATATTATTATTACTATTTTTTAAATAATCATTAATTTAAAAAAATTGATGTAGAATAAACAAAAATGTATCATATATTATCAATTTAATAATAAATATATTACAATTCTTTAAATCTCAAATTTTTTTTATTGTATTAACTATAAATATCATTTACAAATTATAAAATATAGATAATACTATCAATAAATAACATCTAATTTTAAAATGAAAGATTATTAACTTACCATTAATCCCACATATACCCATCTATTATACAATCATCACAATTTAAATCTATTTATCTTTATAGTATACATTTATGCAAACAAGTGTTTCTAGACAAATCACTTTAATAATAAATATAATAATAATAATAAATAAGCAATAAACAAATTCGAAAATAACATTTATAAAGATTAAACTATTAATCGATTTAAACGATTTATCTCTTCAATGATAAGTATAATCTATCAGCTTATCATTGAAGCCAAAATTTCTTGGTTCAACTATGATACTCGAGAGAAGTGATTCGATCGTGGAGAGAAAAAAGAAAAAAAAAAAACGTTTATCGGTCGAGGCGAGATAAAAACGTTCGTTCATTAGAAAAATGAATTCTCAGTGTGGTTTCCACATGTTCTAGACAACGACTGGCGCGCGCACAACGAGTAATTGGCGGCATCATAGACTTGCGCCCGATAAATTCACGGGTAGGGCGGAAAGGGGGCAGCACTAAGCCGGGTCATTGCATAATACCAGCAGCGACACGACACGGAGACCTGGTAATGATTGAAGAACGCGTCTGAGCCTGGAACGACGGTTTGCACAAGTGCCGGGACGAAGATCATGCAAGGACACCCGGTATGTATGTATTTTTACAATAATTCTTTAGATTATCGAAGAAATTACGTTTTGTTTGAATCTCGCTTATTTTGCCTGTAAATTCTTCACACTTTGTGTGATGTTAAGTCAAAGTTCACAAGGATGATTTTAAATGTTGTGGTAATGGATTATGAATTAGATTTGAGAAATTGATAACATTCAGATCGATGAATAAAATGTTGTTTCGACTTGGAATTATTATTTGATAAAATTTCGATGAAAGTTGGGGGAAGATAATTGATTAAGATATTTTATCAGACACGTGTAATACAATAGATGATCATGAGTGGTAAGGATTGGCAATTTTTCAGTGATATTTTTGAAAAATATAATAATAGGTCAGAATTCTCTGGGGGATGATCAAAAAACGGTGAAAAAATGAATAAGCCAAGTTAAGCCTGTTTGGAGGAAGAATTCGATTAGCAAACAATGACACAATGCACGATTGTGATGGCACGTGTTCATCGCGGTTTTAACTTCTCGAATGGCAAGTTTGTTTTGTAACAGATGTACAAATGAACTAGTTACATAGAAGGTATTAGAAGATATATGCATCGAGTTTTAAGTATATATAAATCGACTGATAGTAAAAAAAAAGTTGAAATAAATTAATATTGATGCTTATCTAATCTTTAAGAGGAAAATTACTGATAAACATTTCTATTTAACATTGCTCTAAAATAAAATGAAAGAGATATAAAAAAGTGATTAATATAACGTAATACTATTATATAAAATTATTATATAAAATTATTACATTTAAAGAAAAGGATAGAAAAAGAATAATTTAAAAGATAGAAAAAAATTTGTACATTTAATGAAAAATACTATTGAAATTTGATTTATTATTTTATTAAAATTTTCTAGAAAATAATGCACATTTTTTTTATACTTTGAAATTTAAATTTTCCAATTAAATTATCCTTGATCTATTAAAAAATTTTAATCTCTATTAAAATCCATAACATTCATTAAGAATATTTTGAACTGAATCATTTCCGCATAAATTAACAAATATCTTACAATCATATAGTCTCATTTTAACTCAAGGTTATATCTTTTTCTAGGATTGGCGTTCGGCAGTTGCTGTAACGTGTAGCTTCATAATTATTCTCGTGGCAGTGGTATGGACCGCGAGAAAGACTTCCTATAAACGAAAGGAATCCATAAGAACAAATGAAACAGAGGGATTAGAAGAATCAGAGAAGATTGAAAAAAATGTGAATTGTGAAAGTGATGATGTAAATCACGATAATGTAAATGACGATAAGAAAGATTCCAATGATGACACGATTCCCGAATTATCAAATCCAAACTGGGTAAAGGTGGGCCAGATTCAAGAATTATACATGTATCCTCTGAAATCTGGGCGTGGAAAGACTTTGAGGGAATGTGACTTCACCGAATACGGAATTAGTTTAGAAGACAAGGGTAGATTCACCCTTAGAGACAGGTAATCAGACTTTTTATATCTATCTTTCCTCATTCTTCTATTTCATGATATATTTTCCATATATTTAATTTCATTTTTTATTTTTGAAAAAATAAATTTTCTAGTAGTTTGTTAATTTATCCTACAAATATATTTTCATTTTAATCTTAATATTAGATCAGTCAAAAATAATAATCACAATTCTCGTTTTATTTTACATATATTAAGATAATTCGTTTTAACATTGGCTATCCCTTTCTCATACCAGAAAGAGATAGCCAAGAGAAAAAGATATCACCAAATCACGTACGTATACGATCTTATCTATTCTGTTCATGTAAATGAATCATATTATATAAACAAACGAAAGCTATTTTTTTTTTTGTAGTAAATACTTTATAAAATTAATATGAATTATTACGAACTATTCTTCGTTCTTAAACATAAGATTCATTTTATCTTACGTATCTCCGTTCTAACTAATAAATAATTAAGATCATTTCCATCTTAATCAACCTTTAACATATACACATTTTTAATAAAAATTAAAGAAACACAAATTTTTCCAATTATTTCATAAAACATTTATTTTTATGTCACGAACCACTGTCAAATTTCCTCCACATCAACCCATACTTTCACATTTCGCTTAATTTCACTTAAAAATAAAATTTCATTCTAATATTAATCTTGTTTACAAAAGATCTGAATTTCAACGTAATAAATTCAAGAACCCAACGCCTCTATCCCAAAGGAACCAAAGATGAATCCCCATGCTGTTCATCAGAATGTTTCTAGTGTACAACGAGGAAACTGGCCGATTCCAGACCGGGAGGCAATATCCAACCTTGATCCTGATAAGTTTATCGGCGGTGGACGAGACCAAGGTGAAGCTGGAGGCCGTCGGGATGCCCAGCGTGATTTTCGAGGTTCCAAATTCATTGGAGAATGCTTCTGAAGCCGTTCAATGCACCATGTGGTGGGGAGAGCCGGTGAAGTGTATCGATTGTGGCACAGAACCCGCCGAATGGTTATCAAGGTCTCCATTTCTATCTTCTTATTCGATCAATTGTATATTCATTCTTTTTCCTTTTAATGAGCCTGTAATTTCAAATTGGATTATATAATTTAACTCTATCTATTTTCGGAATTAATAAGAACGAGAGTCAATTGCCATTCTTGATATTTGATTGATATGAGTATTTTTGAAAAAATTATTTAATTTAAGATATAATGATTATATATATTGTTTTATATATTGTATATTTATTTCCTGTGGAAGAGGAAAATGATATGCAAGAACGAAATATAAGATCATTGTCTTCATTGTTTATTTGAAAAATATGAGATATAGAATGTTCATTAAATGAAAATTTACATTTTCTTCAGGTTTCTGACTGGAACCACTTCTGGCCTTCGATTAGGATGCACAATGATGGACAAAAGGAATCTCTTCGTGGAACCGTGGAAAAAATTCACCCAAGTGTATCAAAAACTCAGGAACAAAGACACTGTAATTTCTTTTATTTGATTCGATTCTTCTTTTTCCCATTTTGGCGCAATTATTTTTTATGATCGAACAAATGTTTTCCAGGGATTGTTCAGCGATTTAACCAGTTATATGTTAATGACCACGCGATCTGTTGAAAAATTGAACGAAAAATTAGAAAGGCCAGTTCCTACTCTACAATTTCGTCCAAATATTTTAGTTTCCACCCAACAACCGTTCGAGGAGGATAATTGGGAATGGATAAAAATTGGGGAACGCGTCGTGATTAGAAATGTCAAACCATGTTCACGGTATGGTAAAAATATTTTCGATATCACAGATATATATACATATATAATAATAATAGATATAATTGAAACGAATAGATATGATTCTGAAGATCAAAACAAATACGAAAGTTGATATACAAAAGTATCGATTGATAATGAGATTTATTTAATAAGTTATGAGCAATTTAATAGTTAATTTATATTTAAATTACAAGCGTGTATTAAATAAAGCGAAATGGAGTCAAAACAAATCAATAATGTGATAAAGATAGACCTATCTCATTCTGTCTATCTCATTTCATCTAATACAAGTTTTAAATTAGTTTAACTAAACTTAATAAATAAATTTTAATCGATTATTTATTATTAGTATTTGTGCTTGTTTTGAAATTGATTTTTAGAAGATATATATTAATATCCTGTACATATATATATACATTAAAATATATGTATATCTAAAAATATATTAATTTTTCAAATAAAAATCAAGATTAGAATTTTTTTTTTAAAAATAGAAAGAATTAGAAATTATTTGAATAATATATCTTTTTATAGATGTAAATTCGTGGGTGTGAATCCAGAAAACGGAGTAATGGACAAGGAGGAACCATTAAAGACTTTGAAATCGTACGAAAATCTTATCCTTCCTAAATAACATAAAGAAATCGGAGTGTTATGACATTGATATCGAGTATAGGAATTCTTTTATGGAATTAGTTTTTAACTTTTTTTAGTTTCAGAGAACAAACTGATCCAGAACGGGTCTCTCTCGAAGGAAAAGCGCCTGTAATGGGAATATACTGCGGATTATACATCCCTGGAAAAGTAAAAGTCGGGGATGACGTTTTTGTTCATTCGTCCAGTGATTCAACAATGGTGGAATTGAATCATCGAGAAACAACAAGCTAGATAGAAAAATATTGAAAATTAACTCGCTTTGAATGGCCTTTCTTCATTCGAAAGTAGAAGTTTATGTAAAAAAAAAAAAAAAAAAAAATAAAAAGACGTCAATATACGTTCACATTCAGAGAATAATTACCAGAAATAATATTTTGAGATGAGCAAATCAAATAAAGGATTCTTTGGATATTCATAAGACTTCGAGACAATATAATACTATATATTGCGCGATTTTTATGAGATTATCGTTTCAAGCTATATGTAATTGTTATGATACGTTATATAGGTGTGATTGAAATAAGTGTGACCAGTTTAAATATTTCTGGTGTTACATATTTTGAGACACGCTATACATATGTTGAAATATTGTTACATTAAATAAAATTTTGATTGTTATAAAAGTTTTATCGTATTATTTTTTATTAATTAATTAAAATAACTTTTCCAATATTATATTATATTAATTAATGAAAAATAATCATCTATCTCTATCATACAGCCATCCCTTTTTTATTTAACACAAATTTAAATTATTTATAACTCGATAAATAAACCTCATTCGACATTTACATTAACCTTTCTGTTTTATTTTAATCTCTAAATCAATTCTCCAGAGATATCCCACGTATATATATATATATATATATTAAACACTCTGTTAAGAGGGGAACGATCTTCTAGTTCCTCTCCTCCCACGATTCAAGCGATAGGGGTCGTTGGGAGGTGGGGAAATAAGTCGCGAGCAAGTTGTCCAGTCTTGTTGCAGATGATTGATAATCACAGTGGTCAGAGGCCTCATTAGATAAGGAGAAATGGCATAAGTGTAGGAAGATAAGTAATGCGTTCACGATCTTCATCTCTTTCAGTCGTGTGTATCTTCGAGGAGCGATACGTGCATGCAATATGTTAATCTATTCGTTACTCGTGTCAATAGTTTTTTTTTCTGGATCTTTAACAGTTTTCTGTAAGAATACAAATTCAAATGGTGAGAAGAACGATTTTTTTTTTCTAAATCTTTACTTTTTACATTTCTCTCTTTTTAATATTTTTTGTATTGTATGTTTTCAATCATTTAAATTGTCTTATTAATAAATCGTTTCTCTTTTTAATTTAATGATGGTTTTCTGTCAGAATTCAAAGTGAAATTGGCGAGCATCTTTATTTTTATATTTTTCTTTGGTTTTTATTTTTTATTCAATATTTTAAAACTTTTAATTTTAAAAAATTATCTTTTAAAATTTGTGATGGTTAAAAATGAATAAATAATGAAGTTGAATTATATATATAATTTCAATTTCATATTTTGTTTTAATTCAACATTTTTCAATATTTTTAATTCAACTATACATTTGTTTTTAAAGTTGTTTTCTTTCTGTGATAATTTTTTGTAAAAATTTTAAATCAGATGATCTCCATTTTTATACTTTGTTCTTTTTTTAATTCAATATTTCTCATTATTTTCAATTGAATAAACTATTATAAATTTTATAAAAAATTATAATATATAATATCATAAAATATATATCATAAAATACCTATACAAAAAGTAAAATATTTTAATTATTAGCACGTGTAAACTGTTTTGTTTCATATTTTTTTGAAAATAAAATTAAATGAAAAATTTTATTTCTTGAAATGATGATTTTTATCTGTATTAATAATAATGTAATATTTGTAATAATTTGTAATAATTTAATATTTGTAATAATATAGATGATATAATACAAATATAACATTGTTTATTAATTTTTATCTAATTTTAAGAGATTTTAAATAAAAAGGAACGCAAATTAAAAAACTATTATTTAAAAGAACAGAGAAACATATTCTGGAACTATTTCTTATATACTATTTCTAAATTTTGTGTTTAAAAAAAATAGAAATATGTACAGTATTTCAGAATACTCTGAGTCACATTAGGCCTCGGATTTCATCGGAAGAACAAGCTAATGCAGCGGCAGGTGTCGTTGAAAGATTATTGGGAGCTGAACGTGCTAAAAATTTCGTAATGATGGTGAATCCTAATTTTACTTCTCCTGGAAAAGATTCTTTTTTGGTAATTCGTATTTATAATACAATATAAATAGTATATACATTAAAATAAGCTCTTGATTTGATTAAATATACATAATTCTAACTTTTTAACTTTCTACATTTTTCGAAACGTAATAAGACTAACATTTTTCGTTCATATGAATCCAATAAATTTAATCAAATTTCTGGTAATATCATGATAAAAGATATCATATCACTGATTAGAAAATAATATACAAAATATGCATATGAAAGAATCTTCGAATTCACATAAATACATTACATTATTATAATGTTTTAATTAAGGAAGTATTCGAATCATTGATTATTAGTTTATCTTTCGTAATTTCTTTCGATTATTGAAGAAGATTTTCAAAATATAAACTCGAATGTATTAAAGATCTTTGCTATAAAATTCCAATTTTAAACAAAGGTATTTCCTAAAGTACAATTATAGAGATGTGATAAGGAGTTGAGAAGAGAGCTGTAAATAGGATTACCAGAAGAAATTCCTCAATGAAAGATTTTTCTTATTTTCATTATTACAAACATTTTTATTTCCAATTATATTGCTCATAATACATCATCTTCTTCATAGTTTTCATTCCTTATAATCTTGAGTTTAGATCTTGGGTTAAGGGATCCTTAACCATGCTTTAAATAATACCTCGTTTTTCTGAAATATTTAAAAAATAATAGAAAACATTAAAATTGATTCTAATACATGATTCGAGTTTAAATTTTTCTAATTCTGCTATCTTCATTCCAGTGATCTATTATCACTTTGATCCAATAAACAATGTTCAATCTCAAACAATCAAAATCTAAAGAAGCTATTTTTAACTTTCTATATTAGTAACAATCGATAATCTTATCTTCAACTATCAGATAAAGAAAAATTCCATGGGTCAAGTCGAAATCCTTGGCACTTCTGGTGTGGCTGCAACTTGGGGTCTACACTATTATCTCAAAACCTATTGCAACGTCCACATTTCATGGGAAGGAAATCAAGTCGAACTTCCTGATACCTTACCTGATGTTCGTGTAAAAATCAGCTCTAACGATAGGTATCAATATAGTCTGAAGTTAAAAATGCAAGAAATTTCTTCTAAATCCACGAATTGGACAGGTTTAGATATTATCAGAATGTGTGTACTTTGGGTTATACTTCTGCATGGTGGCAGTGGGAAGATTGGGAAAAAAATATCGATTGGATGGCTCTTAATGGAATCAATTTGGCGCTTGCTTTTACTGGACAAGAAGCTATCTGGGAGAAAGTCTATCTTCGATTGAATTTTACTATAGAGGAGATTAATGAACATTTTGGAGGGCCAGGATTTTTACCATGGTAATAGTTTTCAAAAATTATGACAGATTCGTGAGATAAACCAGTGATTTAGTGGAGAGGGATTTTAATCTATATCCATTCTTTATCTATTCTTGAAAGGTTCAGAGTCACATTTTTGAATATCTCATGAACGATAACAATTGTATACAATAATTTTTTTTTCTACTTTAACAATATTTACAACTGAATAATCAATATTCAATTCATGGAATATATTAATTCCAATATATATCTGATTTATTAATTTGATTACAAAAATAAAGAAAAAAAACGTAATTAACAAAATAATTAAATATTAGAATAACAACATGAAATAAGAAATTATAATATGAAATATTGTATCGTATTAGCAACTAGCATGTTAAAAAAAATAATTGGAATAGATGAAAAAATTTATATTCTTTAATTTTCTCTAAAAATATTCTTAATTTATTTTTATTTTTATTTTTTTGATCAATTAAAATTTAATTCTATTAATAAAATTAGATCCAATTATGTCATTAAAAATACGACATTTGATCAATGCTATTTTTGAAATTGAATTTATTATTTAAATATATTCGATAAAGTTCATTGTAATTACCTATTTAGGTCTAGAATGGGCAATATGCGAGGATTTGGAGGACCTTTAAACTCGAACTGGCATGAAAAATCGATTCGATTGCAGCATCGAATTCTTGAGAGGATGAGGGTATTAGGAATCATACCTGTTCTGCCTGCTTTCGCGGGTCACGTGCCTAGAGCCTTCCTCAGGCTATTTCCTAAAGCTAATGTAACCAAAAGTGCGGTTTGGAATAACTTTTCAGATAAATATTGTTGGTAAGAATACCAGAATAAATAAAAATTTATTCTATACGAGATATTTTGATGAATAATGACCTGCAAATTACATATTTACCACTGTATTATGTATTCTCTTTTATAATTATTGATGGCAATTATACTATTTTAATATGTTAATATTTTCTAGAAAATATTTGGTTAAAAATTTTCAGATCAAAATATGAGATAAATTATCACTTTTTCCTTTTATAAGAAAACAAAGAAGTGAATTTACTTATTTTATAATCTTTGAAATTAGATAATATTGATATAATAAAATTGATATGATTTATCAATATAATAAGATTATTGATATATGATATGATATTATTGATATGATGTATATATAATGCTAATTAAAATATTGTTTATATTATTTTAGTTCTTTGATATCATTCAAAGATAAATTTGGATTTAATAACAAATAATAACAAGTTTGATATTTAATTCTCTTTTTTCACGCTTCAAATTTTAAGATATTATTTTTGATCTATTCAATCTACCCATCAAAAATTATAAATTATTACTCATTGAAAATTCAAATCTTTGTATTTCATTATTTTAAACAAAAGTATATATATTTTTATCTTAGTCCTTATCTTTTGGAGCCTACAGATCCTCTATTCAAAGAAATCGGACAACAATTTTTAAAAACAGTAAGTAAAATTAAAAATCATAAAGGGAATGTCTATATTTGTCTATGTGTTTATATTCTCCAGTACATCGAAGAGTTTGGGACTGATCATGTTTACAATTGCGACACTTTCAATGAAAATGAACCTTACACCAGTGAACTCAAATTCCTGAGGAATATAGGACACTCAATTTTCGAAGCTATGAACAATGTTGACTCAAAAGCGATATGGTATTATAATTAGATAATTTCCTTTTATCTTCTAGGTACTAGTAAAATAATTTAAAGACAAATTTGAATGTTATTCATTATAAAGATGGTATATTTGATTATTCTTCAAGGTTAATGCAAGGATGGTTGTTTTATCACGATTCTGTTTTCTGGACAGAGCCAAGAATTCGTACATTTTTAACCTCAATCCCATTGGTATTGATCATTTACATAAATTTAAAAATCCCACTTAAATTAATCTTTTTAGAATTTTCAAAACTTATAGAATATTCATTTTTCTTTATTTAGGGAAGAATGATAGTGCTGGATCTTCAATCAGAACAATTTCCACAATACAAGAGATTAAACTCTTATTATGGTCAGCCATTTATCTGGTGCATGTTGCACAACTTTGGTGGCACCCTTGGAATGTTTGGTTCTGCTGAAATTATTAATCATGTGAGCTTTTCTAATTCTCTAAACAATACAGTTTTTTTTTTTCGAAAATCAATTCAATTTGGCTTGTACTTTCACTTGCACACGATAAATTTTGATTTAAGAAAAAAATCTTTTATTCTTAATTACTCAGTTTTTCAATCACCAATAATTTCCATGATATATGGATTGATTTAAATGGAACATATTATAGAAAAGATTCCAGTTCCCTGAAATGAATCAGATCAAATACCGTATGAAAATCAAAATTGACTTCCATTTTCCAGCGAGTTTTCGAAGCTAGAAATATGAATGGCAGTACAATGGTTGGGACAGGTCTAACACCGGAAGGTATAAACCAAAATTACGTCATCTACGAGTTGATGAACGAGATGGCTTATCGTAAAAAACCTGTCAACTTGGATAAATGGTAAGATTAAACGCTCATTAGAACTCCATAATAATAAATTAAACACAAAACTGTATTTTTATGAATTCACGTGAATTGTTCTAGGTTCGAAAATTATGCCAATCGAAGATATGGCGATATCGAAGGGAACGAACACACTGTTACAGCATGGAAAGGTTTTAAGAACACGGTGTATAATTTCTCAGACACTAGGAGAATTAGAGGAAAATACGTGATTACCATTCGACCAAATTTAAATTTCTTCCCATGGGTGAGTTATATTGATTATCATATCTGTTTGATACTTTTCTTTACACGTAGTCTAATTTAATTTGTACAAATGAAGGAGGACATTGTTTCTTGCAATTTTAAAAATAAGAACGTAATACTAATAACAAAGGAATATAATTAAGTAACTTTATTCTCACAATAATGTTGAGTTTGTATAATTTTTATGAATCATTTCATTTGGTATTCAATTGGATTAAGGATAATAATATATTTTTATGTTAAAAGAAAAGTTTTCTCAATTAAATTATTTATTTAATATTGACATATTACTGCTATTAGAGATGGTATAATAAAGATGCATTTATCTACTACTGGTACGTGTTGCTACAAGCGAGAGACTTGAAACGAAATAGCACCCTTTATCGACACGATGTTGTTGACGTTACTAGGCAGGCACTTCAACTGATAGCTGATGAAATTTATACTGATTTGATAGAATCATTCGATAAGAAGAATATAGATTTGTTCAAGTAAGTTCTAGATTTTAGAAATTTCACAAAGATTCATATATTTTACATCTAACAGAATGTAAATCAGACTTATTATCTATAATATGTAATATATTAAAGCTAATCTATAATAAATCATAGTTTAATCATAAATCTAAGATAAAGTTCCAAGAAATCACATGAAATGAAATTTGAAGGAAAGATGGACTCTAAATATAAAATTTTTGCTTCAACCAATTATTATTTTAAAATAGATAAAATAAAACTTTCAACATTTATTACAGAAACATGGTAACAATATAAATGTCATAATTTATAATGCTTATCGTTGAAATTTTATGTGAATCATCCTATAAATATTGAGGCTGATATTACTATAATTGTATTAATAACGGTTGTATCTGGATAGATAATATTTAGATCATGTATTTATTAATCACGTTTGTATATGCAATATACATGATGTTGCTTTTTATTAACATCTCAAAAAATAATAATTTTTATTGAAGCTAAAAATTTATATTTCGTGTCCATCAATCTTTTTGGAACTGAATATCCAAATATCTAGTCGCAAGCTTTAATTTTAAATCCTGAAAAAATTGTATTAATCATGATAAATCGAAAGAGAGTCGTGGAATTGTTAAACAATTGTAATATTTCTTTGTTTAATTTTTAAACATTTGATCACACAGGCAAAATGCCAAGTTGTTGTTGGCGTTATTTGATGATCTTGAGGAGATTTTAGCATCGAGTGAAGATTTTCTATTAGGAAAATGGTTGAAAATGGCGAAAGATTTGGCTACTAACGATGAAGAAGAGATATTGTACGAGTACAACGCGAGAAATCAGATTACATTGTGGGGACCATTAGGAGAGATAAGGGATTATGCAAATAAACAGTGGTCAGGAATTGTGGTGGATTACTTCAAGCCCCGTTGGGCTATTTTCTTGAACGAACTTGAAACTAGTTTGACCACTGGAAAGAGAGTGAATATGACGAAAATTAATGAGCAGATATTCGAAAATGTTGAGAAAGCTTTTACGTTCTCTAGAAAAATTTATCCAACAAAAGCAACAGGTATGATAAATTATTATTAAAATGATATAATTAGCGACCTTAAGTTTTTTAGATCAGAATTTCTTGATATTATAATCAGAATATATTTAAAAAAAATTCAGATATAAAATTTTGTCATGGTGTTCTGAAGTTTTTAACTTTTTAGAATCTTTCTTTTTCTGCAGGTGATTCAATTGATATAGCTGAAAGAATTCTATCCGAATGGTACGATCCATATCTTCCTTTTCATAAAACTTTTCGTCATAACTATAAACAGTATTGGTCGAATTCTTATTAATCACATCGATTATAAAATTAAAATTATTAAAATATCTAAGAAATAATATTATTGTAAATATATTTTTAATAAAATTGTGACGAAATTTATAAAAATTTATAAGGAAAAAAAATATATACCTATAATTCTATATAAATTTTATATACGTTAAAAAAAAAAAAGAGAATTACAATCATTCATTTTCACATTCGCTAGATTTCAATGTTTATTGAAAAACCGAAGATATCTTGTATAAAGATCATTATTATTGATAAAAGGACATTTTACAACAATCGAGTAGAATTACAGAATTGGAAACAACGATAGATTCGAGCCAAGAGCAAAAAGAGAAAAATTTGACTACGAATAATATAAAAAGGAATTATTACGATTCACGAACATTACTCACTCTATCAAGTACCATCGGTTAGACGTGTGAATAGAAGTACATCGCTCCTTGCTCTCATCTTCGCTGGTCAAAATTATGGCAGTAGACGACTAAACGTAATCACTTTCCATTTAACTGTTTTTCTCTTCTCTTCGTTTATTAAAGAATCAAAATCGTCTATGAGACTGATTGTCGAGAAAATCAATGCATTAGTCGAAAACGCCACGTATAATTACTCAATTATTTTGAGTCCGCCATTTTTTTTAAATTTGGCCACAGCGCTGCTAATCAACGACATCTTGCGGCGTTGATTTTTGACGCTCGCTTCACAATCATCGAATATACGTTGATGATCAAACCCTCAATTGGCTAATTTGTGACAATCCTAATATAACTAATTGTTCGAGTGCAAATTTTTTGATTCGTTTCTCTCGTGATAGGTTAAACTTTCTTATATAAGATATTTTAAAGTTTTGTAATTATATAATTTTTATCTATTAATCTCTAATTAAAGTATTTAATGCTTTCGTTATTTTTGTTCGAATAAAATCGAATAAAAGTGACTGTCAATTGAGGGTCAATTGATTCGATTTATTTTGTCATTACAAGTATAGATTAAGAAACAGTGTGCATCTAATAAGAGATACAAAATATCTTGTGCATTTCGTAAGAATATCCATAATTTGTAAAATATATCTATTATACATGATAGGGCACCATCGTGGATAAAAGCGTCTCAAAAACTTGAACAACCGAAAAACGCTTCGCTTTCGTCAACGAGGGTTAGAAAAAATATTTCTGTAGATACGTAATATTTTTTTTCGAGATCAATTGAAAATTGATAAACATTTTCTCGTGTATAACATCCTTTAATTTTCTAAATCGTTACAGCTAATTATTAGAATCTTATAAGAAATTTTTTAAGCTCGAGAAAGTACTGATAAAATATATTTTTTTTAAATATTTTATATTTTTTTTCTAGATTTTTAGATTATTTTAAGTATCGTAGTAAAAGTTTTAAAAATTCTTGTGGTTAAGATAAGAAAAAGCGTAAGCTTTTAATATGTAAAAAAGCAAATAAGTAAGATTGGATTAAATTCATTGTCTCGAAATATTACATATCATCAGAAATATCGTAATAAGATTCTAATCTTATTATAACACACATACCCGTAACAATTAGACGTAAAAGGCCTACCGATGCACCAAACGTCTTATGAGATCTCAGTGCGATAGCAGCATAATCTACAATTCAAATACTCTCATCGATACTGTCATCGCAAAGAATATATCTTTCATCCTGTAATTATGAAACGTTCTGTATTTCAACGTTATCGAAACAAATATTTTACAATTTTAAGTAACTCTTCGGATTTCTTCGGATTTTTAGTTTTTCTTTTATTTATTTATAAAAAAATATCCTACAATTTTACCATCGTCGCAATTTAATGGTGTCTATTCACTGCGCTTACAACTACCATTAGTTGCTAATAAATGTTAATAATATATTGGAAAATGAATGTTTGTCACATGAACGTGGTTGCATCATTTCGAGAAAATTTGCGAGGACATGATATGACTGTCGATATATGAAATGTATCCGGTCGTGAGGTTCGATGGTTATCGATTAAATTAAAATACGCACTTATGGTCCCCCGGATATCCAAGTAAGATCCAACGAAATCACGAATCTGACTTTGGTTGCGTTCGCTTGGTCGCGTGCTTTGCACTCGAATTTGCAAGATTTATTTATACATATGTACAAGACTTTATGAGTGCCTTCGTTTCATTTGATCCAAAAAAAAAGATCTTGCGATTTGAGGTTAGAATTTGCATAATCTATCGATTACAATGAAAGATATACGTGTTAAATTAAATCTTCTGTTTTATTAGATAATTTATATTCCAAGATCTCAATAAATTTGTGACAAATTTGAATATCTTGTTTTTAATAGGAATACTACTTTATTTAATTACCCTGTATAAATATCAAGAATATCTATTGAAATCGCATGATCATTTTTGTTAGATCCCAGATTTTTAAAAAATATACACAAGAAAATAAAGCATTTATATATATGAAATAGAAATATACGAAGAAAATGTTTTAATTTTTATTCAATATAAATAAATTTGTAATTTTCTTTTTGATAAATAGAATTTAAAATATGGAATTAAAATTTGTTGATATAGGCACTCATATGGATAATTCTAGAAACTTTATCGAATTATTTAAATCATGTAAAAATGCGAAACTGTGCATTATTATTAAATTATATAAATTATATAAAAATCGAAATAAAATATTTACCGAAAATTATTATTTCATTCTCGTAACATATTCTTAAAAGGATATCGTTGTTTCAATAAACTGTTCTTCTAAATTCTTTATATTCTAGCGTGAATAGAAAATATGTTTAATTCTTTCAACGCTCAACTGACAACATTCGCCCTCTATCTACAGCTATTTAATTAAAATTTGTAAGTAAAACGCCATCTGGTTTTCCAAGTGTCTTATTAAATCTCTTCAGAATTATTAATCCTTTCAACGAACTTTCTATTTCATAAAAAGTTGAAAGTTTAAAAAGTTAATATTTATTTTATTTCGATTGAATATTTTACGCTGTATCATACTCATTTTACTTTTTCATTTTGAAAAATAAATTGAATTAAATTCATAATGAAATTATTTATTAAGATAAAATAAATTATATTTATTTAAATGGAATATTGTATTTATTTAAATGGATCAAAATGAATATTATCCGAAGAGATAAATCGAGACAATTGAAAATTTTCATTATATTTAATTATTTTTAGAGTATAGATTAAGTTATTTCTTACAACTACTATTTAAAAATTCGGCTCAGCTAAAAATGATCTGACTTATCTTCTTATTTTGTTCATTTAATCTGCATTAACAATTTCATAACGTTTCTTTAAATTAATTTTAACATATTCCTTCATCCAATAATTTGTTTAATTATTTATAATATTACTTTCAATTTTGAAAATCGAGGAAGTACTGTTTCACCGTTTTATATGTTTAAAGTGAATTCATAAACGAACGTTGTTTGCTATCAAATCATTTGCAATTGTAATTAACATGACGAAATAATTGATTCAGAATAAATAATTGATACGCCAAAAGAATCATTATGGTACATGATGCAATACTTTGAAATAAAGAATATAACTATTTTCGCCAAAAAAAGAAAACGATTATTTTGAAGTTATTTAAAAAAAATTTAATAATTTATTGCAATCATGTAACTAGATTTTTGAATTTTTAAATCGAAATTTTGTATATCTATTGCAATAATATTCCGTGTAAAAATATTCCTTCCAGATATCTATAATCAATTTTTAGTTGTTAGAAATCAAAGAAAAATAAAAAAATGAAATATAAATTTTCAAATATACAATGTATAATATACAATAAGTATATATAGAATTAATTTCATTTGGTCATCGAATGTTAAGTCGGCTCATACCGTTTTTATCAACTAATTGGTTAATTGTGGTTTTCTTCGTCATGTTGATCCGTAATATCACCGTTTCTCCATTTCCGTTTCCTGAATGGACGCTTCTGTCACCGGAGGTAGAGGACTTTCTGTAGATATTTGTCTGAAAGTATATCGAGACACGGACAAGGAAATAAAAACGACAATTTATTAAATATTCTAAAACAAATGGAACATCAATATTATAAATTATTGTAATTTTGTTTCAAATTAAATAAATTTTCGTCTTTAAAGAGAAGCATGATTTCAACTATCTCTTAAATCATAAAATAGATTAATCGAACGAGTTATCTCAAGATTTTTTTGAAAATTGCAAAAATACGTATCGCATTCAAGCTTAATCGATAAAACAGAACGAATCATGGAACGAAAAGCACATAGATTGGAAACGTATACGTTAAAAAATTGCATTCGCAATTGATGAAAAATCTTGATAGATAACATTGTTATATTTTAACGTGATTTATATCATACATAAGATTGTACTTTATTCCAATATTTCTGAAAAAGTCGATTGTGTTTACCTGCCATTTGTTTGCCAATCATAAGAATCCGGGGCGGAATTGCTTCTACCTGTTCTTTGAAATTGCTTCGTCTTTACGTTCCTAATTATTTTCTTTCCTTGAGGTGTGATCTCCTCGGCTCTTTCTGATGGGGATAATTCTATGCTATCCGCCGTCGTATTCGCCGTTTTTCCACCCTTCTTCGACAAGAATGGATTCTGAAGATCAAAAAAATAACTTCTCAATTACACTTTCGTTCAAAAAAAAAAAATATAAATAAGAGAAAAAGAAAAGGAATATAGATAATCTTCTTGACATTCAATATTAGATTAGCATTACTCTCTTCCAGAGAGTATTCTAATAAAGCTACGAATAAGATTTCAAAGCAATCGTTCTCGTGAAATTTCCACGATTTTTCGATTTTATCTTCACGATATCGCGATTCTCCCTCGATGAAAACTGATGAAAAAAGCAAAAAGGACGAGAGGAGAGAGAGGGAAGAATACGAGAATGAAATATAAAACGAGGAAGGCGCTTCATACTTTATGAGGCCGATACTCCACCGACATTATTGCCGTGTTTACAGAGCCGTCAACCTTCCTTGAACTCGGTTGATATTGACTCAGGCTGCTCATCAAATAATAAGGCCAGAGACGTGGTGGCATTGTGGTGAGAGTGGGAGGCAAGCTTTTCCACGCTATGGGAACAGTCGCGTCACGAACAGAAAAACATAAAAGGCTTGACCTCCTGCTGTTCATTGCTCGTGACGAGAGATCAAATGTCGGCCGCAATTGAAATTCAACGGGCGACCTCTTCTATCGTAACTGCGACCGAACTGTTGCGAACAACTTTATCACGCCCGATGAGAAATCTCGAAAGAAGAAGGAACTCGGCCAACTTGATTGAATTACCTGATCAACGATCCGTACAATCTCGATCGAACTTTCGATCGAAATTTCTCCAAATTTCATCTTCTATCGTAATAGCGATCGTATTGATCCGATAACGATGAATACAAAATTATATGAGTACAGAGAAATAAACATTGAGTAAATAGAGAAATTTTTTAATCGTTCGAAATTGCCAACATCTTTATAATTCTGTTTCCATGGGTTTATACGATGAACGAGATAAAAAAATGTATTTTTAGATTCATCGAATCATTTACGCTTCGGGTGTAGCTAGTGCTGTTTTGATCGATCAAAGTTATCAATTTAATACAATATTCTATTCGGATTTTTTTATCTTTTTCGATAGTTTTTTATTGTCGAGAATGGAATAAAAAATTAGAAAAAGTTACAAGGATATTTGATATTTAGATACAATAGAAATTGAGATATAAATTTTTATAATCATTCAACGGAGGAAAGTTTTTCAGTTTCATTTCATTTCGTTCTCAATAAATTTGGAAAATTGATTCGTTATTTTTGTATTGAACACTTTAACGGAGTTTTCAATTTTGATATTTTTCTTTCTCTTTTACTTTTTCTCTTTATCGTTTCATTCGCAACCACGAGGAATTTATGCAGAATGATGGGAGACACTCGAAGAATCACAACGAGGGAATTTTTACAAATGGCTGAGCTTCAACGCCGATGTCTACGTTATTTCCGGCTTTTATCGCTTCGTGATGTACATCGACTCAAGGTAAAATGATGAACAATTTTACGCGGACGCAAAGACTCCATTTCTCTTCAATGCAATTACACGAGACTGTCTGGCAATAACTATCGTGTCGTCTTAATATTCTACAAACTGCGAATAAATGGGATCAGGAAGGAAAGGGAGGATAAGAAAATTTCCAAAGCTATAAAAGTATCTTTAAGAACGTCGAGCCAAAGCCAAAGAAATAAAAGAAGTTTCATAACGAGTTACATAAACAAGTTTGCCAATTAAAATTAATGATTTTCTTTTTTTGATTTCCTACGTTTGCAAAAATTAGCTTCCATTAGTTTGTATATTTGATAATAATTAAAAAAAAGAAAAAGATATAGATATTAAATATTAAATTTAATATTAAAATTACTGCAAAATTAATCGAGAAACCTTCTTTGATTTTGATTATATTATGATAAGAAAACAATTTCAAGAATGGAAGGGATATGTTTTGTAAAAAATTAAATATGATTATAATATATATAATATAATTATTTGTATAATTTCCTATTTCGACAAGAGTAAATCTAAAAATATGCCTAGATGGGATAATAATATATATAAAATTTACTAGAATTAAAATTAAATGAAATTTATTTATATGATTTTATTTTCGATTAAAATTCCGAAATACATCATATTTGAATGATTAGAGATAGAATCAATAGTATAATACTTCAAACGCGTTGTGGAATTTATTAATTTATTTATTAAAAGTTAATTAAAAATTAAAAAAGTTGATTAGCAATTCGATGCTGCATTTAAAGATCAGAACAGAATCCATGATTTATCGAATACCGATAATTACAATTCGCGAATCAAATTTGAATAAAGAAAAAAAAAAAGACACTAACTCATCCACGTAAAAAAATTAAACTGAAAATTATCTGATGAAACTATGAATAAGTTTGAGTAATGAATATTAAATTTAAAAGTAAATAAGAATATTAATTTTCATTTCATTTTATGTTTTAATTATAATTATATCGATTAATATCAATTAGTTTATCATTAAATTCAAAATTATTTTGTGATAATAAAAAATTTTACGAGTGTCTTTAAAACGATAAAATTTCACTTACTTGGAAACTGTGCTGCTTCAGCATAGTTTTGATAAGAATCAAAGTGTCCAGTTTGGGTATTCTCGTGACCACTCGTTCCACTTCTTCATCCGTAACGGTAACCGGAAGTCGACAGTTGTCAGTTTCGATTGGCAGTGGTTCAGCGCCACGATTGGTCAGCCAAACGTGTTCCTTCATCTCTGATAACGTAATTCTTTCAGCTGGATCTTTGGCCAACATTTTTGAGATCAATTCGCGGAGACTTTGTGAAAGGGCTGGTTTCTCTGGAAATTTTAACGGTTCACTGCGTATCGCTGCTTGAACGCCAATTATACTTCCGGCTCCATCCCAAGGTATTCTTCCGGTCACCAAACAATACAATGTTACTCCCATTGACCATACGTCACACAACTGAAATGTAATTTTATTTTTTTCTTTAATTTTTAATATTTAAAATAATCGCCAAATGCTTTAATAATCGCCAAATTTTAAGTTAAGAACATTTATGAGAATCAATCAAGATGTTCGAATATATTAATACTCTTTATTTTCAGATTAAGCTTTTGAAAAATGTTTCAAAAGAAAAAAGGAAAAGCTTTGGATTAAAAATAACTATTATTATAATAATATAATAATGTAATAATAATCATCTGTAAAATTTAAAGATAATCATTAATCAAGATTAAATCATCTGATAAAGATATAATATATATATATTGACAAAAATTTTATATTTGATATTACTTTGTGCGCAAGTTAATATTAGAAATTGAATCATGTTAATCTATTCTTTACGAAAGTATATTGGATAGAAGAATATGCTTTTAAGAGATTATAGAAGATTGATGGAGATATCCCAAGATGAAAATAAATATTCAAACGTCACGTATTACCATTATCTATTTACGTCATCCATTTCGAAAGTGACACAATTTAGGTAACATTGTTTAAAAAATGCAAAAGATACTATTATGTACAAGATATTTATAAAAATTTGGGACATTTTTTTCCTCGATTCTAGATTAAAACGAACATTGAAAGTTAACAAACAAATTATTAATATGATAAGAATAAACGATAACATTTAATAAAAAAAATCTACGCGCTTTCAATAATGATTGCAAGCAAAAATGAAAAATCTGAATTATTTCAATCAATGGTTCTAATATCAACTGTATCGCTGATTGTTAATTACAGTTCTCGATGCAAATTGATTAATGTGTCGTTTTCATGGATATAGAGCTCTTTTCAACCAAGTGTTAAAAAGTTCACCAAATCGATCGAGTTGTCGATAAGGTCACCACTGGACTATAATCATGGAAATACACGTGAGAAAGAAATTATTCTATATTAAATTATACGTTTCCTCAACAGATCTACACGACAGAAACCATAATAACGCGTTGTAAACATTAATCAGGCCATACTGTTTAAGTGAGAACAGATACAATACTGTTTTCTTCTATTACCATTGTTTTGCTTTCAGATTGCTCAATAATAATCAGTCGAAGTATATCTACTCTTCTATAAATGAGTTTGATCATTAATTATAATATATTGATTATTAATTAATTCTTGGATTATTTTGATCCGCGGATTTAACCTGAGAGAGAATGAAATTTTAGATGAAATTTTAATTAAATCCTAATGGAATTATTAACTTGACATTCTGATAATCAGTAATTTATTTTGCTTTTTTTTTTTTTTTTTTTTTTTTTTTTTAATTGAAATGAATCTTCCACAGGAACGAGTTTGAAAAGTTAATTGATTGCGGTTTCACGTTGTTAATATTAATTATAATACTTGTTTTAAAATATGTATACATAAATATAATATCTTTCTTGTATCTACTCGCTGTTTCGAATTTTAAAATATTATTTATATTGTAATGAAAACGCATAAATATGATATTTTAATTTTAAATTTTTACAATTATATATACAATTCTATATCTAATTTAATTTAAGATATTTTATAATGATAAAAAATAGATTTTTAAATTTGAAAGAACAATTTTTAAATGGAGAAGACATTAATTTTTTTTATATTTATGTTATTTCTAATAATATTAACATGAATATTTATCTTGTGATAAAATGTTTTAAAATTTATATACAGTAATTTATATTTGAAGATTATTTAATGTTATTCATGATCAATTAAGATGAAAAATAAATTTATCTAATAAATTACTTAATAATTTTTTTCTTTATAAAATATATATTCAATAAAAATTCCTTGTCGTTTTTCAACTTATAACCTTTAAGATATATTGAACAAGATTCAGAAGATTAAGTAACAATTTTTCTCTCTAACTGATCATACAACTTCGCAACTTTGTCAGATAATCGATCTAAATCATATTTACCTACTCTCGATAATTTTGTTGGATTCAATAAAATTTTTTAATCGGATGTAATAACTGAAGAACAATATAAATTGAGCAAAGAAAAGAAAGTTAAATTTGATTTCACAAATTATTTACGTCAAACGTGTCACGGTCGATCTAAATAAAATAGTGAAATGGTAGTGCGACTTAACTTTCTTATCAAAAAGTTTCAGGATACGTGTAATGTAATTATGTACATAGAAAGAGCGAAACACAATCAGAAAACTCGGATTGCGTTGCTCGACATCGATTTTTTAATGGCTTGTGAAATATGCAAGGGAACTCGCAATACAAAGAAACATTTTCCACTTGGATAATTGGGTTAAAGTTAGTTTTTTTTTTTAATTCTGGAAAGGTCTTAAATTGGCCTTAAATAAAAATAAAAAATAATCAAAAATAAGAACCTTTTACAGAAGAAGTTTGTAATAAAATTTTGAAACAAATCACGATCATAACATTTAAATTGATGCATCCATATATTATTTATGATTTTAAGAAAAAAATCAAAATTCTATTCCAAGAAGCATGTAACAAAATAGATCATTAATCACTTTCGTATGAAATTTCCAAATAATAATTTTTATTTTTAGAAATAGAATATATTTTTTAATATCAAAACTAAACAGAAATAATATTTTTATCATATAATCCCTATAAAATATATTTGCATATTATTATGCATGGCATTACATTACATTTTATTAGTATTATATAACTTCTATTGTTACAATATTTTCTATAAAAATATAATACCATAAAAATGAAACGTAGGACAAGATAAAAAAAAACTCCATTTCATTTCAATTTCATCAAAACAAACCTACGTGTAACGTGATGCCATTTAAATTTCACATTTTTTTAAATTGATTCTTCGTGAAAAACGAGAAATAATGATCTATCACATCTTTAAACGATCTTCAGCTCTCGAGCGACATTATCATCGAATGGTAACCTTCGGTTACGATCGAAAATTGGCGAAAAAACTCGAGAGTAGGAAAGCGTCGGCCAAGGATTGAACAGAGTGGCGGCGTAATAATTCTTCGCCACCTATAAATACCGGGCAAAATTGAAAATCGATCAAACGATAGCCCCGATAGGATACTTACCGTTCCGGAATAATGGGCGCCAGGCGTGGTTGTTTCGGGTGCTGCGAACGCCGGTGTTCCGGCTGGCCCGGATAATAATTCTCCGGATGCCCTCAGTTCTGCACTAACGCCTAAATCAGCGATCTTGATCCGACCGTCGCTGTCTACCAACAGGTTGCTAGGTTTTATGTCGCGATGGACTATCCTCTGGTAGTGCACTGAAACAAATTGAAATTTGATCAATTGGACGAAATTTAATAATTCTTCTGGGGTGGATTTAATCAAGATTTATCGAACTTTTAATTTAGCGATCGGTATGCAGTTTAAAATTAATCGTGATGTATAAATTGTATGAAAAAAATATTATAATTTATTAGTTGTCAAATGTAATTTCTCAATCAATTCTCGTATAATAAATATAATGCGAATGAATATTATGATACAATATATTCGGATTTGGCTATTGATATTACAAAAATATACATGAAAATAAATTTAAAGAACAAGTATCCAGGTTTTGTTTCAACAATCTGTATGCAGTATAGGATACTCACGATATTCCACGCCCATTACAACATCACGAAAATTCTTCCTGGCAGTTTCCTCGTCAAGAGGTTTGTCGGTGGGCACCTGAAGGATCTCTCCCCTCTGGACCAATTCGAAAACAAGGTAAAGATTATCCTCGTCCGGGTCGTCGAGAACTTCGACCAATTTCACCACGTTCGGATGATCCAATTTCTTCAACAACGCGATCTCCCTGTAGACTTTGGCCAAAGGGTTGGCCGCACCCTTTTTCCCCGGAGCCATCCTACCGAATATTCCCGCCTTCTTCATCAGTTTCTTCTTGCTCAGAATCTTCATCGCGTATTGGGTCTCGTCTTCTTCGTTGTAAACTAGTTTTACAATCCCGTAGGAACCCTATAAAACGCGAATGATAAAATCTCTCGAGTCTGTTAAAATAAAACGACGGCGATCAAGGAATTTTAATTTTCAACCGATTTTTTTTTTTTTTTTACTTTCATGCAGTTTTATTATTTCATACAACTTTCTTCGTTTCGAAACTTTATTTTTCTCCAAAGAGGAAATTGAAGAAATTGCTCGGTTGATCGACAGGTAGTTATTAAAAACATTTTTGTTCATCTACGTTTTTCAAAGGGAAAAAAAATGGTATTTTAAAACGTGATGTTCTAAAGAGAAATGGAAAAGGAACGTTTCTATGAAACAATGCTACTTCATTAAAGTTAAAATTCTCGATATTTCGATGTTCTCTGGAGTTTTTTTTTTTGCGTTAGTTCTCTTTTTTTATTTGGTATTATTTTATTTTCGTTTCGTTTATTTCGAGAAAATTCACGTATAAAAAAAAGATGTATAATATATTTCTTAATTTTGTATATTTTTTTTTTATCAAATTATATATCATATATGAATCAAAATTTTATCGTGCACATTCAGAAATAACTTCCTTTTCAAATACAATAAATTTCAAATAGAAAAACTTAGTTTTTGACTCCTTGAGAATTGATAGAAACTTAATCTCGACCTATATATTTCGAAAAGATCAAACGGTGACCGAGAAAAAGTTCGAATCGATGCCGATGTTCAATTTAAAAGTGGCAAACGATATTTCTTCACGTTGAAATAGTTTCTTCATTTTTATCTTTTTCCTCGAAATGTGTGATTTCTAGAATTTTGCTTTATCACTTCAAATAGCGATGAACGAAATTTTCAAACTTCCCGAGCTACATTTTCTTCTCCTATTTTTGACTAATTTTCGTGATTGGAATTGTTACGTTCAATCAACAAAAACGAAGATTATTAACATAGAAACGAGTGGATACAAAGAAAGATACGTTTCAGGAATGAGAAACATCGAAAATGCGATGCAATTTCAAAAAATCGAAACTCTTTCGAAGTTAAACTTTTAAAAAACAACAGAATATTAAAATTTTTGTTTAAGAAACGTACAAAATTTTTTCATATTTTTGTTGAAATGTTTCCATATTTTAATAAATGTTAAAATTTCATTTTCTCGTAAAAGATGTGGGGACGAGAGAATTTCTGTCGAGGATAAATTTGTTAACACAACATTGCTTATTTCACGTGTCAAAACAAGTACGGAATAATTTCGAGAATTCCTATTAACAAACTGTAACAAATTTTCAGATAAAAATTCGTGTTCTCGAATAAAATTCCTTCATCGGCTATTTCTTAACCAGGCAAAGAATTTCCTTCTAGGTGGAGAAGGTTTCTAGGTGAATGGGTAATTTACGAAATTGGAGCAATTTATTCGACGATGTTGAAGCAAAGAAAAAGTAGAAAACTGAAAAAAAAAAAAAAGAAAGAAAAGGAGAGAAGTAAGTCTCATTGTGGTTAGCAATGATAAAGAATAAGTAAAGATATCATTAGATTAATATCGTAGATTATTAAAAGTGTTGTCTCTCATTGTTTCGATATAAAGTGAAATATAAAATATAAAATATAAAAAATATAAATATGCAATAGATAAAATATGCAAATGTTTCGTTCGAAAATAACGAATCACTTTAAAAATAACTTCATAAAATCGACGAGGATATTTAATCAGTTTTAACAGGAACGATACGTTAATGCGAGATTTTCTACGCATCGATGATATAATTTCCAATGCTGATCAATTAAACGCGATTAGAACGAATCGTTACATTTCGAAATTGGCCTTAAAATTTCTCGTGTGTAACGAGTGAAAATAATTTAATAGAATATTTTTTATGTAAGAAAAAAATTACTCTTTATCTTCCAACAGGGAATATTTCATTTATGGTTGCATTAATTTGCTGCTTTCGCGTTTATGTAGGTCGCGTTATGAGCGATACGTAAATTTTTCATGAGATAAAATCTGTCTAAAAGAGGGATCCTATTATTAATTTATTATGATACATAATAAATATCACTGATATATGTATAATATAGTACCAATATAGTGATGATATAATTGTATTATAATAATATTATAATGTTAATACAATTATATTACTATGTATTATTATTAATAGAATTATTTTATAATTATATATATATCATATGTTATAATATTATATATTAGTAATTTCATAATATCATAGTAAATTAATACAATTGTATTACAATATAATATGATTATGATACTAGTTTTTAATAGAAACAGATATTATATATTAATTATACTATTATTATATATTATTATATATTATTATTATATTATTATATATATTATATTATTATTATATTATTATATTTATATATTATTATATATTATTATATATTATATTATATATTATTATTATTTCCTTCATTATAAATTACTCGTATCTACTAATATATAATAGAAACTTATTAAAGCCAATTCTCCTGTAATATAATACTCTGAGAACACGATTTCGATAGAACACAATGCAAAATATTATAATTAACATAGACAAAACTAATTTAGTATAAATGTTTTCTTCTATTTTTATTTGACATTTCTTTATACTGACTCTACTAAAGTTTCGTTTAATACGATTTTGATACAACAGGGAACAAGAGTTAATAATATGTATTACTAGACATTAATAGAGAACAATTTAAACTTACTTGACCAATGTTGTCCAACAATTTATATTGATTCAGTTGAAGAGCTCCCTGTTTGTTGTCAATGGAGACTCTCCTGCTCTCCCTCAAAGGCCTCCTCCTGTTTCTGGGGGATCCCTGGGGACTTCCATACGGAGAATAAGGGCAATAAGGATAAATAGGTCTCACAGAGACACTCGAGGCATCTCCAAGAAAACTCTGACTCGTTCCCACCTCTCCAGGTGAAATCGCTTTTCTAACGTTCGAATCGTCCGCAGTTTCACCACATGTCAACGTCTGGATGTCCCCAGAAGCGCTGCTCTTCAGCGTGAAAACGCTCGAAGACTTGTTCAAAGGATGTTTCGTCGAAGATATAACTGCAGCCGTGTCATCTTGTTTAGAAATTTGAAATATCCTTCTGTCCAACTGCAACTCGCTCTCCGCTCTGTCTTCAGACTGGGTGGACAGCAATTGGTACATCTTGATCGATCGTGGAACAATATTTTCTCTGACGGATTGCTCTGACGTCGTAGTTTCTTCCTTCTTCTGAATCACAGAGATTTTTTTGTCCAATGGCGACGCTTCGTTGATTTTCGACACGACAGCTCTGGCAATTCTGTCAGAATTGACGTCTTTCGATCGTTCGACGGATTTGTCCGTGTGTTTATTGGTATTTCGAGAATTCGAATCGTGGAACGTCGGCGTGGTGCAAAGAATAAATGGAGTTTGACTCCTCGAAGTTGGAGATATCGAAAAGCGGTTTATAGAATCGTAAGGATCGAAGATGGTCGATGATTCTTGGCATTTAGTAGTAGTGGATGGTACTTCTGATCTGTCTTTTGGAGAGTCGCCTCGATCTGGTAAATCGCTTAGGCGACAATGCGTGGAGAACTCTTCTGTTGGAACGAATTATTATGACATGAATATCATGAAATATGATATAATTAAATGAATTATCTGTTTATTTAATGAGATTATAGGATTGAATCTCACAATTGACATGGAACAAGAGATTACAAATTTAAATGTTAATTTTGTCATAATAAATATTGCAAAAATAATAAATAAATTTAGTTGTAGTTAAATATATTACACGAAATTCTTTGTAATCTTTTAAATTTTCAACTCAGTAGAGATATCTTATTATCAACGCTATATATCACGAGTTAAAAATAAATTTTGATAATTTTTGTTGCATCATAAAAATGTACGAATTATTAGAACTTACTTTATTAATCTTTATGATTTCTATATTATATTTAGATACAAGAAGACTCCATCAACTTTAATAACATATTTTCATAATTTTCTCAAAAAAAAAAAAAATTTACCATTCAATATTAACAATACTAATTATTCATTATATAACTTACCAGAATTGATAGGTTTCGTCAATCCACACAAATTATCCAGGCTCTCCAGCCTAGAAGGAGCTTCATCTCTGAGAACCTCCTTAACTTCCTCTATATTAGGCATCTCGAGTCCAGCTCCGGACACCTTTCTATGCACCTCTGTGGTAGGCATGCTTCCAACCTCGACGTCCTCTGTCAAGCTTTCTTCAGCTCTCCCCAATATCACTCTCGAATTTAACCGTTTAGTCGTAGAGGATCTGCGCCTCTCCTTGAGGAACGACAAATCTTGCGACACATCCACAGTCGACGAATTCCTCCTGTCCTCGTCGAACGTCCCCAAATTGCTAGCGTATCCACTGCTCTCTCTCCTAGGTCTGACCACTCTCGGCGCCTTGGATTTCAAAATTTCTCGAAGAGTCGGCAACCCTTCGGCTTCCTCGAGAAACAAGGCACTGTCCTTTCTCACCTCGACGATCTCTTGATCAGAAACGTCCTCTGGGCTGGATGGAATCCTGGTGGAATCCTCGTGATCTTTGCGCGATCCAAGCGTGGTTGATTCGTCAGATGGTAACTTGATGGTCACCTTCCCTTCCAAATCGGCGAATCTATCTCTCGTTTGGTCCTTTGGCTCGTCTACATCTGGTGATTTGTTTAGCACGTTTATTGGAAGTTTGGTTTGCCGTTGTTTGTCCGGGGAACAGAAGGATTTGTTGAAAATGTTCAGAGGTTGGGATTCTCGTCTCGTCGATGGATATTGGAACTTGATCGATGATTCCTTGGACGATAGAATTGGTTTTGGTTCGAATCTTCGAATGGAAGGGTGTTGCTCGGTGGAGGCGCTGGAAGGCAATGGGAAAACGAGATTTTCTCCGTCCAGAGGAATGTCCAGGGAAGTGTCCCTCGAAGTTGGCGCGGCGATTGTCAACGATTTTGGGATGGAACCTGGAGACTCTTCGTCGATCGCCGTGTGTCTGAAAATAAAGGAAAAATTGAAATTAGAAATTTATAGGGACGAAATTGAATTCTTTCTTCTTGCTCTATTTATTCCCAACGCAATTCCATCTTTTCTTTCTTCTTTTGTTTTAATATTTTAGTTCTTGTACTTACAATTTCATTGTTTCATTTGTATTTATTAAATCAATGTTTAATACAATATTTGTTGTTAGTATTCATTTGAACTATATATTTTCGAATTCGAAAATATATTATATAAAAATATAAATAAATATTAATTCTATTAGTATTTGGAAATTTGTCATATAAAATCTGTTTTCAATGTTTCTTAATGTATTTATATATATTTTATTTTATACAAATTTTAAAAAGCCAATTATTATACAATTAACTTTCAAATCATAGGTGTTCTGTCAAATTATAAAACTAACATGTAAAATTATATTCAGATTATACTAAACTATTTACAATATCTTTTCTTATATAATATAACTTATTCCAATTCTATGGAACATTCTATTATAAAGATATTCTTATAAATGGAATAACTTCAAATGGAATAAGATTTTAACTATGGTTCCATGTAACTTAATATTAAAAAAATTTACATAAATGTTGAATTCTATATGTTAATGACTCCAAACTTGTATAAACGATATTTGTCCATTCAATAATCTCTCTCTCTCTCTCTCTTTCTCGTGTTTGTTTTACAAAACGAAGAAATGAAAGAAACGTGTTTCATCGGAATCGATTAGTGATGGAATTGTTAAGGGAGATGGAGACGAAGTGAATTGGATTTTCCTCGAAAACAAGCCGGACAACTTTTTCGAGTGTTCCGTTCGAAAGTCTACTAACACAACAACAATCTGATCTGCATTTGACATTTAATCGCTATTTCGTGCTCGACGTCCTCGTTTAGTTCCCTCAACACCCTGACGAATTCCACGAAATGAACTCGCTACGACTATTCATCGTTTCGTCACTTCTTTTTTTTTTTTTTTTTTTTTTAAGAAGTAGCAGTTGATTTGCAAGAAATTACAATATACATATATACAAAGAAAAAAGTATCTTTAATTTTTCTCTTTGATTAAAAGAATTTTAATGATGAGCACTACTTGAAAGAATCGTTGAAAAATTGAAACGAATTCCTTTGAATTAATATTGAAATTTTTTCTTAAGTATTACAGATGGAACTTTCAAAATTAATATGTGGAGTTTTATGCAGGGCTATTAATCAGGTTTAAATTTTGTTGAAACTTAAAGTAAAATAGCTAACAAATAAAAATTGTCCATTCTTGGCTGCTATTATATTCATTCATCGAAATAAAATATTAATGCGACAAGTCAAGATTACAAATTATTACAAATACCATTAATAAGAATCTTTTTAAATCCTTACAAATTCTTTTTGACGAAGAAACAAATGTTACGAGCTATATAAAAACGGGAGACGTTGAAAAATTGCCAAAATTATTCATCAAACGTGGCGCCCTCACGTGTGTTTAAGATCGCATTAATTCATTTCGACAAAGAAAATATTCTTCATCCTCGTTGTACTTCTCCAAGAAGTTAGACTGTCATCATTTAAATTTCATATTTTCGTCGTTTTAACCGACTCGATTTAAATTGCAAATCAACGATCCTCTAAGACATATAGGTTGAAGATTTAATGAACTTGGCGCTCTCTGACGGCTAAAACTTTCGTATTGAAACTCCTCGATCGATCCATGGATCCTGGCTACAATCGTAAATGAACCGCTTTTCGATATTTCTTTTGTGTTTTTCAATCATATTTTCCTGTTTGGAAAAATACATTGCAAAATTTTACTCTTTTCATTTCAATTAAAATCGAAATTGAAAGATAAACGATTTCAATCTAAGCTTTGTACTTACAATTAATTCTAACAAGAAACACTTAAACACGATTCAAACACGATTTTTAAATTATTTTTAAACAATTATAGATATTGAATTCTTTTTACTTCGAGGAAAAAAACAAAAAGATTCTTAAATAACAATTATTTTTCATTTTCTCTAATTTCCTTACTTTCTTCGTATATCAGCAATAAAGTAATTCTCAGAATATAGATTGACATTAAGCATATACTCTCAAGATGGAATCAGATTCGAAAAATCTGAATTTTTCAACGGGAATGAAAATAAAAGACCGATCTGACTTGGAAATAACGTTCGCGCCGTGGATCAATTGTTCGTTTCGAACTGGGGCGAAATGAATACGAAGACGCGATCTGCATTCACAGAGGGCGTGCGCCACGGTTACACTATCGTATATCAGCTTCCTAGTTCGTCATATACCTTTCTCCCAATTGGAACACGACGCCGCTTTGAACTCGGTGGCAATTAGTTTTCCACGGCCACTTTTCCACGGTCAATTGAGATTTCACCTGCCAGCCGATCTATCTCTACACGTTTTCGACCAATCGGGTCAATTTTCCAACGTGAGCCAATCAACGACTAACGTATCGTCATCTAAACGTCTTGCGTGTTTAACATCTGCCATCGACGAATCATCGATCATAGTGAAACGATTTTTACATCATATTTGACGGTAGGAAGTGAAGCAATGTTTGGTGAATTGATGTAGAGATAATGTAACTGGCCATTTAATCGAATTACAACCAAGAAAGATTACTATAAATTACAAAAGATAAATATAAAAGAATGTGAGGTTAGAAAGTTAATTAATCCTTATTAGAACACGTTACAAGCAACAACGTTTAATTATAATTATAATACGAATTGTAGTTAATATAATAAATCAATCTACGAAATTTTTGTTATTTTTTTTATCAGATAAGATTTTAATCATATACACGTTCTATTTCATATGTTAATATTAATGAGATTCGATAATATCGAAATACAAACTATTTTACGTTAATAATGTATTCTTATGTTAATTTAGGTTCCATTAAACTGTTTTGTGCAATTATGAATAAAAATTCTAAATTTTCTTTTGCCCAAAAACTCGATCTTCTTACCGAGAAGCTTTATTTCAAATATATGTTATAGGCAATTATATTACGTGGATTATTGCGAACTGAAATTGATGCGACTAATAATTCCATAATTAGGATCTTAAAATTTCTATCTTTTGTTTGTAATTCGTACTTATCGGATTAACTCGTAACATCTGATTACCAGCTTGTTGTTTAGATACACAGATTAAAGAGGATTATTTGAAAACCCAATCTGTTTCGGTTTACGTTTTCGATTCCAAATTGTACGTATAAATATTGTATGTTATTCTATAGGAATCTATACGATATTATCCAGGTTTTTAGTTCATAGGTGTTACTCGTAATTTCGAACAAGATGCTTCATCGTTTCGTGTCGTTATAAGCATAGAAACAGGATTCATTTTGGCGATATGAAAGGCTGAATGATGATGGATTCGCGATGAATGAAAGGAATGTGTTACTCCTTTCATAACGAGAACCATTTTAGGCATCGTCTATTGAACACTGCCACATATTGAACAGATGGCGTTTCTGTAATATTTGATGAAAGCTTTTGAAGGCCTTAGGAACCTCGCTTCGCATAACTTTCATTATAGAGTATTTAAGATTGAAATTCCGTTTTGTGGAAAGTCATTTTTCATGAAAAATTTAATTTTATCTCCAGATAATTAAAATTAGTTTTAATATATAAAGTTGTTTCAGTATTCGATAATATGATAATAAGATGAAGTTTATTAGAAAGATATAAATATATTTTATTTTATTTTTACTAATATTAAAAGATGAAAATAAAGTTCCTTTGTCAAATAATTCAATAATAATTATACAAAAATAGGATACTAAATAAATAGAATGTGGAATAATAAAATGAAGGAATAAGAAGTCGAATAAAAAACAAAGGAATAATGAATAAATAATGAACGAATACTAAAATTGAATCAATAAACGTTTAGAAAACGAATGAAACCGTTTTTCCTTCAATCGAATAAAAATTTATTCCAACAACATCTATCATTGCCATACGAGATCCTGATTGAAAAGCAAAAAAGGTTTGATCGGTTGCAACTTAAGTATCGCGCCATTCTAACATGGAATGCACATGTCGTTTCGTTCGTTTTTGCAGCAAGACCAATAAGGTGAACGATAAACGATCGAGATAAAAATCACTACCATAAACAGAAAAATCGAGATGTCACCATTTCGACAAATTATCGTAAACCCACGAGGGAATATACTCGTGCACGTCGCCATCGATGATGATTATTATTTTTTATTTTTCGTTTCATTCGCATGAGACTAATAATTAAATTCTTTTTTTTTTTTTATCAGCGTTACGTTACGTTTTTTGCGCATGAATAGAATTCAGACATAACGAGTCTCGATTCACACACCTTTTTCTCCGTTACGTGTTCGTTTTACGTAAATATAAACTCGACGAAGCATATATATTCTTTTTTATTATAAACGCGATTTTCTTGACACGTTTTTTTCTTTAATTCTTTAAACGGTTTAATCTCGTGTACATGTATCAGGAATGACGTACAAATGTACAAGGAAGTTCTATAAGCTAAGACAAATACAAAAATATCGATGAGATTTATTTATTTATTTATTCATCAGTTACAAGCGATTAAAATTTAGTTATTAAACGGGGGCACGAAATGATAATAGATAAATGAAGTAATTAATTCTTTTTGTAATATTTCTTCTATAATAATTCAAGAGCCGAAATAAAATAAAATAAATTCGATCATTTATTTGTTAATTAATTAAATATATAACGAGAAGATTTATAAAATTTTCAAGGATTGAACGTGTTATTGACGAGAGTTAAAAAAACAAAGATGTATAATAAGAAATAAAAATAAGAAAAAAATTTGGTCTTTTTTCTTTTCTGTTCGTTGATATATTGTTTTATTAAACGGGGCGTTAATTTTCTAACCAATTTGACGAATAGACAAATTCGAAATAAAATAAATTCGATCATTTGTTTGTTAATTAATTAAATATATAACGAGAAGATTTATAAAATTTTC